TGAAACAAAACAGCAATGTGTAGACAACTGGCACAACAATTTCAGCCCCACAGCAGAGGGAGTCGATCCCATTCCAACATGGCTCTTTAAAAACATACATCTCATAGATTTCCTCTATAAAGAGAAAAAGAAAGAAGAGTGGTGGAGGATGTGGGAGAAGGGGTCCTGCAGAGGTGGAGGTGTCAAGGAGGAGGTATCACTTTAATTCACACGGGTCCACCTTCTCCAGGCCTGACACAGGAGTTCTTTCCCACAGTGGTCGAGAACGTTAGCATGTTCCTCTTGAGTGAAAGGGGAATGTAAACATACAAGAGAGCATCTTTGGCAGAATGTGAGGAGTCTTTGGAGGTAGTGGTGAAGGGGGATGGGGTTGCAGCAACGAGGAGTGTGGGCGGAGTGTTAAGGGACCTATTGTGGGAAAGCAGGATGCTCCAGAGGGTTAGTCCCTATTAGAGGCACTTCTGTGGTTCCTGTGTCTTTGGCTGGGGAAGTAGCCCCACCTCTGCTTCATTCTGGCTTCTGTGCACCCGTCTGCAGTTTGAAGTTATAGGAGTGTCTCCTGTGAACAGTCCACCTGGGTGCTGGGACGCTCCTGATTGGGTTTCGAAGGACAGGATTCTTCCCCCTTTCTCCCAGAATGGACCTGCTAAGGGAATCTGCCAAAGATTGGCAACAGGATGGCAATATTTTAAGAGGGCTACACTGTACCATACCACTAACTGATTTCTCAACCACGTACTTTTTTTTAAAATGCGATGATAATTCATCAGTGTTCTATTGTACGTCCACTTTGGATAAAAGGCAATCTGTTCAAATGAGTAAAAAAGTAAAATATTTGTTTTCCAAAAATATTGTGTTTCCGGTTCCTCACATGTGAGGGATTTGCTGCTTTTCACTGTCTTTATTATCCTTTTGTAACTTGAATGCTATACTGGTGTTGGTTGGATAAAAAAAAAACAATAATTTAAAGATGCCCCACTTATGCTCTCAGATTGTTTTGATGGGTTATCTTTTCTTTGTCTGACTTTTAAAAAATTAAGAGAAAAATAAATTTAAGGCAGGTAGTTTTTTAGTTTGTTAAAATGTAGTTAGCCAGGCTGAACTTTACACATTTGTCTTTTCTTCTCCTCTCAAACACAACACCATAACATTAGCTGTAGCCCTGCAAGTACTGTGATTCACTCCAACAAACCCCACTAACAAGCACCTCTATGTACCTAAACAGAAAAAATTAAAAACTGAAAGATCAATATCTCTATTAATTTAATCTTATGGGTTTACCAGTTTCACTGGAAAACCTCACATTCTCTATTAACTTACTGGCTTTCACACTGGAATCAATAACTCAGTGTCTGTACAGTATATTAAAAAGGTAAGGTAAGTGCAAACCAGCCTGAGAATCTGCAAAAATATATAAACAGCCACAAACAGTAGAGGAAAATTGTTTACACCTGCTGTTTTTTTGGATGTGTGCAAATTCAGCTGGTTACCAAAAACAACCTCTTGCAGGTAAGCACATAGCACATAGCACATGATAGTTGTCACCAATCTTTCTCTAAAAAAGGTAAAAATGGGAATTTCTGTTTCTTCACCATTTAGTGTATGCTCCGGGGGAGTGGGGCTGCTCAACCTTTTGTCATGTGAGGTGGAGAAAGGACAGGAGGAGTGCCTGGTTGGGCTGAATGAAGGCACTCTCCAGTGCCGTCGCTCCCTCGGCTGCGCATGTCACTGAAGCTTTCAGGCTGGTAGTAAACTTCTTGTCCGCGATCGTTCCCTAGATCAAGGCATAGGGCAGCTATCCCGTGTGCGTGAGTAAAATGTTGGATTGTTCCAGCAGTCGGAGCAGATGACCACGGACCTGCAACCACCTGGCAAGAAAAGATGTGTACTGTATGTTGTTTGTTGTCAAAGACCCAAGATTAATTCCAGTGTGAAAGTGTGCTGACAGTGGGCTGGGAAAAAGCCTCTCAAGTACACTTAGAGTAATTCAATCTGATTACTAAATGAATATATTCTCACTTTGATGTTTGTTTAACAATCACAATCTGTATTCATTTGTTTCAGGATAAGAAAACAATCTCAAGCCTTTTCTTATTTTTATGTACTTATGTTCAAGGCAAAACAGTGCCACCTTCCTGTGATTTGAATATTGTACGTGGGCCACATTGCGATTTGATCATATTTTATTGATCTATTGTGTTAAAGCCCCCTGCTTTACCTACCTGTTGAGGAACTGAATACAAAACCACCCACTTGTTTTTTGGGTATTCTTTTTAAAGGTTAATTACTTTACTTCAGCTATTTTAAATGTTAAGTCCTTTAATATTTCAGCTGTCTTTTTAGCCTTGTAAAACGCACGCTTGAAGCTTGCCCGTCATGTATTGAAAATAGCTGCTAGCATAAATGAACGTGCTATAAATTCAAGTTTTATCCTTCATTATATATATTACATTTTTATTCTTGAGGCTTGTTATATGTCCATTCATCATATGCCATCGATTGTTGGGATTTTGCTGGTTCAGATAACCTAGTGACCCCGAACCTGATTATCTTTGATTTAGTATGCATTTCTTCTTAACTTAATTGGATACAACTTGTAATTATATGAAATGAAATAAAAATATATACACATTACATATTGAAATAGACCATCAACCTTATGACACTTTAATATGGAATAAGAGCTACACATTTACTGGACCAAGTTTGAAAAGACGTGTGAAAGCAAAGAATATTATTAAAAAAGCTTTGGAGAAACATATGTGAACACTCAAATGCATAAAAAAACAAAACCTTATTACGACTGCTCGTGTGTACTTGACCACTAACCTGTGGGGACTCCAGCTAGCCCCTCACCAGGGCTCCCCAGGGTGGAAGCTGCTACGGCCAGTGAACAGAGAGCCGGGACCCTGCAGTGCAGCATGCCATTCCCCTCAGTTTCCACCTCACTGCTCGTCTCTCCATAAACACACACCTGAGGACAGACAGTGATAATTTAGTCAGTGTTCTCATTGCACACCAAAGCAAAGGACACAAAGGAACCTAATTGAGCACAAAGGTGCCCAAAAACCATTGAATATTCCTGAAAAATCACATCTGAAAAGCTGTATTTATTTTAAAGAAATTGGAAATGTATTAAATTATTCATCATCAGTTGATTATTATGCAGAAGTGATTCGTGTTGAAAAAGCCAGGACATGTCTGCTAGTACAATCCTTTCATGTCTCTGATCGACGCAACCTAATCTTATGTAACGTAAACATTAAAGGCTTTTGCTCTTCTGGTTGATTTGAAATGGTTTGGACATTTATTTCCAACACAATCAGATTAAAACTTCAAAAAAAAACAATGTGGATAATAAAGATCCCTAAATCAGCATCAGACAAGTCCAGTTCTTTACCACAAAAACTCTTGACTTGCAATTCAAAAGCTGACTTAATCTGCAAAACTAATAAATTATTGGAATATTACAAATGCCTTGTATGTAAATCGTACCATTCATACAAGGAAAGTGTGCACGGCAATAAAATGCACCAGTATAAAATCTTTACCCATTACAGGGAATATTACAGGGACGTATATGTGCAGTTCATGAGATTGGTTACTATAAGAGAATACTTGTGCTGTTTTGGATTGTTCATGCAAAGAAAAGCAAAGGCTTGTCATAATCGAGCATCATTGATATAAATTAGTGTGCGATTATTGACAAAAACCAAACATTGTCAAACACTTAAAGCTTAAATTACTTCCACCATTTGTCCCTTTATGGAGTATCCATTGGAGAGAGGAGCATATGCAGCTGCTGGTGGCTGCCCAGCCCTCAAGTTTACTGTAGCCTTCCTGAGGCTCTGACAAAGTACCCTGTAGAGGACAAGTAGCTGGGGATGCTTCTTGCTGCAAAATTCATCTTCATCTGGAAACCAACAGAGACATTAATTTTGTTACCAACGGTCCTGTGTTCTGTGAAACGTTGTATTCTGACCAACAAATGCTGTCCCCATAGACACATTTTCATGGCTCTCCAAACACAACCAATTCCCTTTTGGCCGGAATATTCTTGCAAATTAAAAGACATATTTTATTGTCTTAAACTTGTGACCTGTGTTTGTTGATACTTGTAGGTTCCCTCACTCCTTTCTGCGCATGTGATTAGATGACAATGGACCCAGACCAGCGAGGCTTTTCCAACCACACAGCACACCACCACAATAACCACAATGGCCCACGTGTCCAAGCCATCTTGGTCGTTACCCGCCACCCGTTATCGCAGTTAGGTTGATTAGGCGAGACGCTGGAGGTAAATTGTGGCCACGCTCTGTTTCCCAAGAAGTAATTAGACATGATGCAGCGGTTTATTTGCCAGCATCAGCCAGGGTACCAGCGTCCACTAATAATAAGGAAGCTGGGTTTGGCAGCAGCGAAGAACGTTGGCGGCTCTGTTGCAGTTCACCAGAGGTCCGTCACTCTCTTAGGTCCCAAGTTTGAGACGGGGGGCAGCAGGGCTTACCTTCCAGCTATGCACTGAAAGGCACAGCAGTTTCACCACGGGCCACGTTCGTGTCCTTCCAGCGGCCCGCATGAAGGATGGAGTTTTCTGGATGGAGAAAGAGGAATCATTGATTTTTGACTTTAATAAGGATTATCTCAGTGGCATATTTATGTCAATCTGTTTAGAATTGGATGTTCTTGGTGAGTCAAGTCTGTTACTTTTTAGAATAAACTAAAAACACATATAAAACTTTTTTTTAGTATGTATAAGCCTCAAGTCAACCACAGCTTCTGCCACTCTGGCTGATGCATTGATTATATACCAGCTTCATAGTTCTAATTGGAAATCTTCAGAAGCAACATTCATCAGAAGATTGTGGATGAACAGTTGTGTCAAAGATTTTCTTTCCAGCAACATTAAGAATTCTCCATGGCCATTGTAAACAGCGTTTTATTATTTATATTGTCACTAGTTAAATCTCTCTCTTTTAATGTTTTTAAAGTTACTGCAGCTTACGTCTCAAACCTCTCTGTAAATGGACTAGTAGGACATGGCATTTCATATAACTAGCCTTATGTACACATAGATACATACATACATACATACACACACACACACACACACACATACACATACATACATATAAAATAATACAATACATTCTCATTTTTCACAGTCCCAAGTGAAAACCTAGGCTTAATCAATTTCTATGGAAGGATCATGAACTTTGAGAAAAAACTGTGATGATAAATCGTCACAATGTAAAACAACATGCGCATTGCATAATAAAGTGTACCACCATTAAATTAAGTGCCTGTAAGACATGAGAAGAAGGGAAAACAAATCAGTGCATACTGTATATATAAACCATAATGTCACCTGATCGAGGTTACTGAGAATGCTTGTTAAAAAGGCCATCTAACAGACAACCATCAGAAAATAGCCAGCAAAACCATGATTGTCACATGTGCAAAAAAAACTGTATGCTTTCTCCCCAAACTGCTTATCATAACGAAGATATAAAGTGAAGGAATTAACAATTGTGTTTGACATAGAACAAAAACAAGATCAGATAAAGATGATATAGGATATATTCATATATATTCATAATATACACCACATTTTGGTGTCACTGTCTCTGGAATTTGCATAACTGGATATTAGATAGGGTAGTTTAGAGTCAGTCAGAATAGCTGTGGGAATGTGGGACATATTCTTTCAAGGTTCTTACCTATATTAACCATCACAATCTGCTGGTGAGGGAACTATAATTGTCCCCCATTTAAACCCCTTTTTCCCCAGTTGGGAAGAGATGGTTTATGATTTTCTACCAAAGTCATGTAGGCTGTTCCAACACGTGTCTGTACCAGGAATGATGAAACAAACAGCCAATGTGTAGTACACTGGCAAACAATTTCAGCCCCACAGCAGCAGGGTCGATCCCATCCAACATGGCTCTTTAAAACATACATTCATAGATTTCTCTATAAAGAGAAAAAGAAGAGTGGTGGAGGATGTGGGAGAGAGGGGTCCTGCAGAGGTGGAGGTGTCAAGGAGGAGGTCACTTTAATCACAGGTCCACTTCTCCAGCCTGACACAGGAGTCTTTCCACAGTGGAGAACGTTAGCATGTCCTCTTGAGTGAAAGGGGAATGTAAACATACAAGAGAGCATCTTTGGCAGAATGTGAGGAGTCTCTTTGGAGGTAGTGGGTGAAGGGGGATGGGGTGCAGCAACGAGGAGTGTGGGCGGAGTGTAAGGACCTATGTGGGAGCAGGATGCTCCAGAGGGTTAGTCCTATTAGAGGCACTTCTGTGGTCCTGTGTGCTTTGGCTGGGGAAGTAGCCCACCTCTGCTTCATTCTGGTTCTGTGCCCCGTCTGCAGTTGAAGTTATAGGAGGTGTCCTGTGAACAGTCACTGGGTGCTGGGACGCTCCTGATTGGGGTTTCGAGGACAGATCTTCCCCTTCTCCCCAGAATGACCTGCTAAGGGAATCTGCAAAGATGGCAACAGGAGCAATATTTAGAGGGCTACACTTGACCATCCACTAACTGATTCTCAACCACGTACTTTTTTTTTTAAATGCGATGATAATTCATCAGTGTTTTATTGTACGTCACTTTGGATAAAAGCATCTGTCAAATGAGTAAAAGTAAATATATTGTTTCCAAATATTGTGTTTCCGGTTCCTCAAATGTGAGGATTTGCTGCTTTTCACTGTTTTATATCTTTGTAACTTGAATGCTATACTGGCGTGTTGGTTGGATAAAAAAAACAATAATTTAAAGATGCCCACTTATGCTCTCAGATTGTTTGATGGGTATCTTTCTTTGTCTGACTTTTTAAAAAATTAAGAAAAATAAATTTAAGCAGCTAGTTTTTAGTTTGTTAAAATGTAGTTAGCCAGGCTGACTTCTACACATTTGTCTTTCTCTCCTCTCAACACAGAACATAACATTAGCTGTAGCCTGCAAGTACTGTGATCACTCCAACAACCCCACTAACAAGCCTCTATGTACCTAAACAGAAAAAATAAACTGAAAGATCAATATCTCTAATTAATTTAATCTTATGGGTTTACCAGTTCACTGGAAAACCTCACATCTCTATAATACTGGCTTCACTGAATCAATAACTTCAGTGTCTGTACAGTATATAAAAGGTAAGGTAAGTGCAAACCAGCCTGAGAATCTGCAAAATATATAACAGCCACAAACAGTAGAGGAAAATGTTTACACCTGCTGTTTTTTTGGATGGTGCAAATTCATCATGTTACCAAAAACACCTCTGCAGGTAGCACATAGCACATAGCACATGATAGTTGTCACCATCTTTCTCTAAAAAAGGTAAAAATGGGAATTTCTGTTTCTCACCATTAGTGTAGTGCTCCGGGGGAGTGTGGCTGCTCAACCTTTTGTCATGTGAGGTGAGAAAGACAGAGGAGTCCTGGTTGCTAATGAGGCTCTCCAGTGCCGTGTCCTCGTGCTGGGCATGCTCACTGAAGCTCCCCTTCAGGCCTGGTAGACTTTTGTCCAGCGGATCGTCCTCCCCTAGATAGGCATAGGGGCAGTACTCCCGTGTGCGTGAGTAAATGTTGGCATTGTCGTAGCAGTCGGAGCAGATGACCAGCGGACCTGCACCACCTGGCAAGAAAGATGTGTATGTATGTTGTTTGTTGTCAAGACCCAAGATTCAATCAGTGTGAAGTGTGCTGACAGTGGCTGGGAAAAAGCCTCTCAAGTACACTTAGAGTAATCAACTGATTACTAATGATTATTCTCACTTTATGTTTGTTTACAATCACAATCTGTATTCATTTGTTTCAGGATAGAAAACAATCTCAGCCTTTTCTTATTTTTATGTACTTATGTTCAAGGCAAACAGTGCACCTCCTGTGATTTGAATATTGTACGTGGCCACATTGCGATTTTGATCATATTTTGATTTATTGTTAAGCCCTCTTTTACACTGTTGAGGAACTGAATACAAACCACACTGTTTTTTGGGGATTCTTTTTAAATGGTTAATTACTTTACTTCAGCATTTTAAATGTAATTTAATATTTCAGCTGTTTTTAGCCTTGTAAAAGCACTTTGAGCTGCCCGTCATGTATGAAAAAGTGCTGCATAAATGAAGGTGCTATATAAATGAAGTTTATCTTCATTATATATATTACATGTTTTATCTGAGCTTGTTATATGTCCATCATCATATGCATCGATGTTGGGATTGCTGTTCAGATACTAGGACCCCGACCTGATTATTTTGAGTAGTATGCATTTTCTCTTACTTAATTTGATCAATTGTAATTATATTGAAATGAAATTAAAATATATACACATACATATGAATAGACCATCAACCTTATGACACTTTAATATGAATAGATCTACACATTTACTGGACAAGTTGAAAGACCGTGTGAAAGGCAAAGATATTATAAAAAGCTTGGGAAAACATGTGAACACTGCAAATGCATAAAAAACAAAACCTTATACGACTGCTCGTGTGTACTTGACACTAACCTGTGGGGACTCCAGCTAGCCCCTCACAGGGCTCCCCAGGGTGGAAGCTGCTACGGCCAGTGAACAGAGAGCCGACCCTGCAGTGCAGCATGCCATTCCCCTCAGTTTCCACCTCACTGCTCGTGTCTCCATAACACACACCTGGGACAGACATGATAATTAGTCAGTGTCTCATTGCACACCAAAGCAGACACAAGAACCTAATGAGCACAAAGGTGTCCAAAACCATTGAATCCTGAAAATCACATCTGAAAAGCTGTATTTATTTAAAGAAATTGGAAATGTATTAAATATCATCATCATTATTATATGTCAGAAGTGATTCGTGTGAAAGCCAGGACATGTGCTAGTACATCCTCATGCGTGATCACGCAACAATCTTTGTAACGTAAACATTAAAGGCTTTGCTTTCTTGTGATTGAAATGTTGACATATTCCAACACATCAGATTAAAACTCAAAAGAAAACAATGTGGAAATATGATCCCTAATCAGCACAGACAAGTCAGTCTTTACCACAAACTCTTGACTTGAATCAAAAGTGACTTAATTGCAAACTAAATTATTGGAATATTACAATGCCTTGTATGTAAATCGTACATCATACAGAAAGTGTGCACGGCAATAAAATGCACAGTATAAATCTTTACCATTACAGGGAATATTACAGGGACGTATATGTGCAGTTCAGAGATGGTTACTATAAGAATATTGTGTGTTGATGTCATGCAAGAAAAGCAAAGCTTGTCATATCGAGATCATGATATAAATAGTGTGCGATTATGACAAACCAAACATGTCAAACACTAAAAGCTAAATTACTCACCATTTGTCCCTTTATGGACGTATCCATTGGAGAGAGGAGGCATGAGCTGCTGGTGGCTGCCAGCCTCAGAGTTACTGTAGCCTTCCTGAGGCTCTGACAAAGTACCCTGAGAGGACAAGTAGCTGGGGATGTCTGCTGGCAAATTCATCTCATCTGGAACAGACAGAGACATATTTTGTTACACGGTCCTGTGTTCTGTGAAACGTTGTATTCTGACAACAAAATGCTGTCCCCATAGACACATTTCATGGTCTCCAAACAACAATCCCTTTTGGGAATATCTTCAAATAAGACATATTTATTGTCTAAACTGCTGACCTGTGTTTGTGATACTGTAGTCCTCACTCTTTCTGCGCATGTGATAGATGACAATGACCCAGACCAGCGAGGTTCCAACCACACAGCACACCACCACAATAACCACAATGCCCACGGTGGTCCAGCCATCTTGGTCGTACCCGCCACCCGTATCGCAGTTAGGTGATGGCGAGACGCTGAGGTAGATGTGGCCACGCTCTGTTCCCAGAGTATTAGACATGATGCAGGTGTATTTGCCAGCATCAGCAGGACCAGCGTCCACTATAATAAGGAGCTGGTTGGCAGCAGCGAAGAAGTGGCGCTCTGTGAGTACCAGAGGTCCGTCATCTTTGGTCCAGTTGAGACGGGGGGCAGGGCTACCTCCAGCTATGCACTGAAGCACAGCAGTTTCACCACGGGCCACTGTTCTGTCTTCCAGCGGCCGCATGAAGGATGGAGTTTCTGGAGGAGAAGAGGAATCATTGATTTTTGATTTAATAAGGATTATCTCAGTGGCATTTATGTCAATCTGTTTAGATGGATGTCTGTGAGGTCAAGTCTGTTATTTTTAGAATAACTAAAAAACATATAAAACTTTTTTTAGTATGTATAAGCCTCAATCACAAGCTCTGCCACTCTGGCTGTGTCATTGATTATATACCAGCTCATAGTCTAATTGAAATCTCAGAAGCACATTCATCAGAAATGTGATTGAACAGTTGTGTCAAAGATTCTCCAGCAACATTTAAGAATTCTCCATGGCCATGGTATAACACGGTTTATATTTATATTGTCACTGGTTAAAAGAGTTGAGGGAACATAAAATAAGAGTATGTAAACAGTGACAGCAGAGTGGCTCAGAAAGAAAATTACCCAGTAGTAAAACATCAGTAGTATGCTCTGCTTATCAGGTGGGTGACTCACCCAGGACAGTGAGAGTAGCGTTTGCCGACAGGCTGCCAGCTGCATTTTGAGCCGTGCAGCTGTACACTCCCATGTCTTCTGTCTTCACGTTAGCAATGAAGAAGATGTCATCATCTGGCATCACGTGCATCCTTCGCTCTCGGGCAGCAGGAAAGTCTGTGCCTCCGTCCTTCTGCCAAGCAATCTGGGGTGATGGATGGCCTTCAGCAGCACACTCCAGCCTGGCCATAGTCCCGGTCCGGATCGTCAGGTCCATTGGAGTCTTAAGAAATGATGGCAACTCTGAAAGATAGACGAATGAAAGTCAAAAGTGCTACAGAGAAGACTGGGATCAAACAGTAGTTGCATAAATCTTATGGTTCTACTGTCTTAAATTTTATGACAGTCATGAACAGCTCTTTAAAACTTAAAGAAAATGACTGTAGAGCAGGAGAAAAACAAATGAGCCCCACTGACAACCATCAATCACATTCTTTGAAAGCAGGCAAACACCCTCACCATTGACGGTAAGCTTGGCCCTGTTGGAGTAGTTGGAGCCGAAGTGATTGGAGACCACACACTGGTACCGCCCCTCATCAGTAAAGTTGACATTGAGGAGGTGAAGCATAGTGGTGTAGATCAGCTCTCCCTCCTGGTACTGGGCGTAGTTTTGCACTTCTGCATCATACAGCACCTCCCCGTCCTTCCGCCAAGCTGTGGTCATTGGCGAATCACTGCTGCTGGAGGCAACACAGCTCAGAGTCACATTGTTCCCCCGCAGTGCCACAGACGTCTCTGGGTGAGTTGTGATCTGAGGCTTGGGGAAATCATCTGCGGAGGAGCAGAGACAGAAAGTGCAAAATTCAGGCAGCAATTCTCAAAGTCAGAAAGTCCATATTTTTACAGCAAAAATAAAGCAACTAAAACGTAAGATATAAGACATATAAGACATGAAGTATTCAAATACAGGAGGAATAACATGGTAGAATCTATTGGGGCTTTCTTTGAAGTTTATAAAACCTCTGTACCAAACCTCCACTGTTAAATAATCCGCTTGTTGTGTAACACATACACATATTGTAATAATCCACAATACATTTCAGTGATTTCCAAACACCACAAAATGAAAACTCTATGTCTTTTCCCAATTTACACCAACAAACTTTTTCCCAGCTCTGTATTGACTGAAGATTATTTGACTTGGATCAGTCTAGGAAAGATCAAACAAAGAGATAGGGACTGACCACAAACAAACTCTTCTGGGCTGATGGACAGGACGTTGCGACCAAGTAGACTCGCAGGATGAGCACAGACGGCAGAGACAGACTGCTGGAACTGGCTGTCAGTCAGCCATGGCCCCAACCACTGCATGTGGCAGTCACACAGCAAGCTGCTGGTGTTCAGGACACTGAGGACAGAGAGATAATGAAGGAAGCATTAGATGAGTGATTGTAAAATTTGTTGGAATAATCAAACTGCTGTAGAGATAAAAGGATGCCATGAGCAAAATCAACTGAACAAATAAATTAAACAAAAATTTGGGATTTCAATGATTGTATTTGTGATCATTTCTGGAAGTGAATCATGGTTTATCCTTTAAGAAAAGCAAACATGCATTTACGTGTGAAATCAAGGTTCAATGGACCTCAGTTGTTTAAAAGAGGCTGCTATCTACTCTGCAAATGTACAACTGTCTGTCAATGAAACAGTAAGCCCAGTGCTGCTTGAGTTACAGTGAGTATGCAAGAAACAGTAGCTGCGTTTTCTTAGTTTTCTCAGTTTTCTCCGTTCTAATGAAAACAGTGCTCTGGTGGCTCTGTTATGATGTGACATTTCTCTGAACCCCAAAGGTAAGTGTTATTAATAAACCTAACACTGAGCTCATAAAACTTTAATGTCACAATGAACATTTTTTTATGTTTAGATACACAAAAAAACAACCATAACCACAACAAGGGATATATATTTAAGTCAGCTGGACCATGTAACCGTCATATAGGCATTTATGCAAAGTTTATATTATCCAAATCATGGTAGGAAACTGATTCAGTGCTATAAAAAGCCAAAAAGACCAAACATTTCCACTGTCTTTCCTCACAAGCAGGAGAGACAGCTGTTCTACCAAAAGCGGATATTGCTGCAACTCAAGAGCTGAATCCAAAAGCTCTGCTTGTCCAAGCCAATAAATGTATGGTTTTGGTAAGATAACAATCTAGTGCCTCAGCAGTAATGCATATATTTAAACGTCACCACCAAAAGTGAGGGTTAACAACAAGAAAAGTAAAGTTATAGTCTTCTCTTATTCATTCATGACTAAACCTACAGTAGATCAACTTCACATTTCAGTAGTTGAGATTTTCTTCATTTAGCTATATAATCGTGACACATAACCGTTACTTTATCATTATTATTCCTTTTTAATGAAGGCAACAATGATGAATCAATTGAAGGAACAATATCAACAAAGGGAAAAGCTGGCTTCCAAATGCACTTATGAGTGCTGTAAGTTTAATTTTGTCTACTCACAACACTTTGAGCTTCATGTGGGACAACGCCTCAGGGTGTATCGACATGATGCCATTCTTGCTGAGGTCCCTGCAGAAGGGACAATAATATGGATTAGACACACCTACAATGTGATTTGATCAAAATGGCATCCCACTTCACAGGCAACAGCAGCACAGTGGTAATAAAAGCCTTCTGCTATCTTTAATCATTCAACAATAACAAAAGAGCCAACTGAGACACAAGTATGACTGTGTGGAGAAAAAGGATTGTGCCGTGGTTTAACTCACAAGTGCTCCAGCTCCTCCAGGCCCTCAAACGCTTTCTTAGTGATTGATTTGATTTTGTTCCGCTGTAGGATTCTGGAAAATAAAAATATTTCATATGATGCTCCTGGGTAACATTTTATTGATCCATGGAACCAGTGTGTCAGCAGCTATCATTAAGGCTAAATAAGGACATTTGACCAGCCTTTCAATGGAAGTGAGAATAAACTTGAACAATTTCACAGTAGAGTACAACCATACTTATATGAATAAAGCATCACCCATTCAACCAACTGTTCTCACCAGAAAAACATAACTAAGTATCTGGAACACTGATATAGAATTTTAGATGCACCCTTTTATTTTTCTATATATGACATTTCACAACCATTTGTTTATTTATCTGCACAAACAGTGTGTCCTCACAATGTGTTCAGCTTCTTCATTCCATCAAATACACCAATGGAGTCTTCAATGGCCCAAGAGATTTCATTGTTGCGGATATCTCTGAAAAACAAAAGCAGGCATTAGATAGTAAACACACTCTACATAGACTGTACATCTACAGCCTTTTCCTGCAACACCACAGAGATTGTACATCATCTCCACTGTGGTTGTCAGTGGCAGTGAGTCTCAGTTAGGAGACTAACAATTTAAGACACCCTACTTCCACAGCGTGTCACAGTTCGCTGCCCCTGCTGTTCTGATGAAGGGAAATTAATTGGCTCTGTTTAGCACTGGGACAGTTCATGGGTCCAGTGGAAACCCGGAGAGGCCTTGTGTTTACAGGATGGGTCATGAGCTCTTTTGTTTCTCTTTCCCCATGCCTGGGCACCTATGAAAGAACTCTGGCACTCTCCAATTCCCCTCTCCCATGAAAGCTCCCAGGACAAGCAACCTCCCAAATATGACCTCTTTCTCATTGCAACCCAGTGGCTTAAGTGGAGCTCTGTGAGGCAAATAATGAGTTCACGACTTCCTCTCTTCTCAACACTTCTTACCTCGCACATAAATGTATGATGAACACATACTTGCTTAATTAGGCTGATACTCTGGACCTTATCTACACTGAATTTTGAAAGATTTTGTGGCTGTGTTAATGTAGTTCAAACTGTAATCTATTGTCCTTCAAGCATACAAATTTTGTGAACTGAAATGTGTAAAAGCAGCTGACTTTCACCACATCTGAACCAACTCATGTATTTTGCGGCACATAAATGTAGGACAACATTATTGTAATGCATAACTCCCATTAACTTAATAATCAAAATAGCGCATAATATTTAATGGTATTCAACACCAAAGGAAGCAGATCACAATTTCTCCCCCTGACAAAGCTAGAGCTTCTGTGTTATTTGTTGAAATGCTCAGTAGCCACTAAAATTCCTGTTGAGCTTACTATGTTGATATTATTTTAACCCTGCTTGATGAAATATGGAAAAGCAAACGATCACAAAGCCCACAAAGAGAGTCTCACCCTACTTACAAATTTTAATAACCTTCATCTCTTGGCCTCTGCCTCAGCTACAGTGTATAGACCAGCCTGCTCTCTCTCAGCCATGCAATATTACAAGAACCCTCTATACTGTACATCTTTCACATGTATGACACAGACACTGCACTTACATTGCATCTCAGATATTTAATATGCATTTGTGCAGAGTAATAAAGTTCCCTTCCTTCTCCTGTGAGTGAAAATAAGTGTCCTCTAGAGTTTTCAACTCATTTCAAGTCAGCACGATGCTCACAGTGAATGGCAGACCAGAGGACGCAAAACCAAGAGAACAGGATTCTATGAAATTACACATTGGGTGGTTTGAGCTAAGACTAAACAGATGACTAAAGACAGGCAGGATCAGAACACAACAAAGACTATATTAAAGGATACAGACTTAAAATACTGGCAATTTCTACTGTTATTTCTCTAAACTACTTGGGATTACTCTGGAAATGTATTCAAGGGACTAGAACTACACATGAAGACTGAAACAAGCAGACCTACTGTATTCAGCATCCTGCATGAGAATGCACAGAGCCAAGAACAAGCCAGGACTTGGTTATATTTTGAATGGTGACCTTCATTGCACTTCTTAGAATAGGTGACACATATTTTAGACAGCTGGGATTTAGCGGTAGCACTTACAGGGTACGCAGACTTGCCAGGCCACTGAACACTCCTTCTCCCAAATGGCTGATGGAGTTCTCTCCCAGGTTCAGGCTCTCCAGGAAACCTAATCCTACAAAAGCAGTCTCCTCGAGTCTGGTCAAATGATTGAAGGACAAGTCTCTGCGCAAAACAAAAATAAATATAATAAAGATTAGTTCAAACAATTTCCTTATTCAACACCAGTCTTGTATGCACGTGAAACTCCACATTCAAGAATGATACTCGAAGATGATACTTGAAAAAATTAAAAGACATTTACAGAAAATCGTTAGAACCGTATACAGTACATTCACTGAAGGCAGACAACCCACAGCAGCAACCTACTGCAGAAAGATAACAGTAACTCCTCTGAGCACACAGAATGAATTTCAGAGCCCGGGGCTGATGAAAGAAAGTGGGGACTCTTAGCTGCATGGGGATTTTAGCTATGAAGCAAACACACTCACAGTTCCTCCAGCTTTTGGCAAAATTCCCAGGCGTCTGGTCGGATGATGCCGACAGCATTCTGGCTGACCCGCAGGATACGCAGCATGCGCAGGCCATACAGCCAACCTTTATTGACCTCAGTTAGGTTGTTATGCTCTAGCTCTCTGAGACACAGATGGGAAAAAACAAAATGACATTAAGAAAACAACTGCGATTACACGAACTCTTTTATTTTAGGACAACACCATTTTTTCCTGCTTTTGTGCTTTCCCCACTTAACACCGGCTACCTTTTGTCTTTATAGCTATTTTGAAATGGTTTTACAGTGTGCTGTTCCTCATTTGCTGATGAACTCCAGAGCATTGAGAGTATATAATACTATACTCACAGTTCTTCAATGTTGTTAAGTCCAAAAAAGGCTCCATCCATGAGCTTACTGATGCCATTCCTCTGCATCTTCAGTGATTTCAGTGAGTCCATCCCTTTGAATGTTAGGCTGTCCACTATCTTGATCTTGTTGCGCTTCATTTCACTGCAATGACAGCAAGCATAATTTTTCTTGAAAAAACAAAACAAAAAACAAACAGAGCCACTGGAATATTTGGATTTACTGTAAATTCAGCCAGCTACTTTGGAAAGAGTGGTTACAACAAATCAGAAATCACATATTTATCTGCCAACTATCAACCACTCAGTTCTTGGTTTTTCTTGATTGATTTTCATTTTGCATCAAAAACACAAACAATACTTACAGGAACTGAAGCTGAGGAAGTTTGAAGACTTTGGATGGCAGCACAGCTAATCTGTTCCTGTTCAGCTTCAGCACCAGCAGGGAGCTGGAGATGTTTTCAAAGCAGCCTGGCTCGAGAACGCTGATCTTGTTATTACTCAAATTCCTATGAGATAAAAGAGCAGAAAAATTAGAGCTAAACTCAGGCAGGAGAATAATGTTTGCTCTGTAGTTACACCTACTGTATATAAAGAAGAGAAGGCCCCACACAGTTGGTTTGTCTACAATACGATGCTTACTTACCAACAGCAAACTAACCAAAACAAGGTGTCTTCAGTGCTCTTACATGATTAGCATTGACTAGAACAATTTGATTGTGCAATACTGCTTTGCATTAATATGTACTCTCCAATACTTTGAACAGCTATAAATGCTATGTCATCTTACTGCTGTATTATACAGAGCCCATTCTTCCTACTTATACCATTAGTTACTCTACGGTTGTAAGCTGATTTATTGTTATGACAAGTGTCTTTGTTATTACATTAGATTATATTCTAGAAATTTGCTAATATGCAATATTGTGCAGGCTTGGCAGCTGTATGCACTGTCATTCTTTCTTATTTTACTTTCATTGTATTGTCAGGCTGTTCTTGTAGATAAATTGGCCTTACCTTCATTGATGAAAAAATTGAATTAATTAATCGAATGAAAAAAAGATTATTTAAATGAGCAGTATTTCCTTACAGATATTTCAGCTGCATGTAGGGGAAGGATCCAACTCTGAGCTCAGAGATGGAGTTGGATGTCAGGTCGAGTGTCTCCAAGGAAACATATGGCTGCAGCTGATGCATCAGCAGTTCTGAGATCCGATTGTGGACTCTAACAACAAAACAAAAACAGATGTTAGTCTTCGAATAATGATACTGATTAGTAAGACAAGCTATGTCGATGGTTTACTAAAATCCTATCAACACAAGGAAAGACACAATTATCTCTTTACCATGCTAGCAAAAAAAAAAAGATGACACCAAACAGTACCATACCAGTGTTTTAGTATCACTAGTACACATAAAAACATATTGCTTGGAAGAGGCATATTAAGATAGTACATAAAACCAAGAAAGAATAAAATCAACCAAGATTTTGTACTTACAATGACAGTGAGGTGATGTTTGAGGAAACATCTCCAAGAAATGGAAGAACAGTCAGCTCATTGTGATTCATGGTGCTGAAATGAAATATAACAGAAAATTATTATAATATCTGACCCATGATTGAAATGGGGACATTAAACGATCACAGAATAAACCACTATTTTCCAGTTTAACCTCAAATTCTGAGCAATTTAATGGTTTGATACTTTCATTCAGTTTCCAGTTTATTTAGGTACACCTAGCTAAATTGAATATACTCCAATAACAAAAGCCCAACAACAAATGCTACCATCATGAAGGTCATAATGTTGAATTTTGGTTGAAACTGTTAAGAGAAATTAATATTAATTTAATGTCATGTAGGAGGCTGCAGTATTTGTGATGTTGAACTGTACTGCATTGATAGGTATTTCTAATACCACGTATCACATCGATAAAGGTAGATTAGATATTGGAATAAACACAATACAAATTGACAGCACTACAAACTACAAGCTCCAAAGTGACCATAAACATTAGTCAACTCGTCTCCTCAACAGTTTTAGTAAAAATTGAACATTATAATTTTCATGAAGGTAAGACTTACTGTAGTATACTGTCAACTGAGCGTCAATTATGTTAGGCTAATATCTAAGCATATTGTTCAACTTGATACGCAGTGACTGCATAAATGAGAATGGATGTGGTGGTCATTCTTTTTTAACTTTCCCACGAATATGTTCATGATTAAATTAAGGAAAATACACAATTAGTCTATGTCATAAAGCAAAACAAAACGAATTAAGTTAAACACCACAGGATAAAATGTTACAAAATTAGTGTCCAGATGCTAAAATGCATCAAAATGGGGTTTGTTGGTTTGTTATGGTGTACCACTTGATTGAGCAACAAATCAGTGCAGTGGATTAACTACATGACTGACTTACTGACGGGTTGTGTACTTACACTTGGGTTATCCCATCTGGTGGGTCCAGCGGTGGCGTCGACAGCCTTTTCCTGTTGCAGTCCAGAATATGGACCTCACCTAGTCCTTTTGAACACGAGCAAGGAGTGGGACAAGACTCAAGAGCCCAGGCACTCAAACCGAACAGCATGAAGACAAGGGCCGAAGGAATGGGCCAACCCTCCGCCATTTTAAATGTCTTCCCACTGAAGGCTACGTAGCTACGTGGCTAACTCGCTCAACTGGCACGCTAACTGTTACAAAACCAACATGAAACTGTTCCTGCAATTCGATATCAGTCAAGGGAACACATACTTAAGGTTTACAGTGCCGTGATTCCAGGCGGAACTGTAAGATACATTTTTTTCCAACTTGCGTGAGGCATCCCAGTAGATTTCTCCCCTTCTTCCCAGTGCCCGAACTCCTTCCGCTCCAATCTGGACACCGTCTCGGAGAGGCTAATGCTAGCTCACTGCTGAGCTGATTTAGTCCCACAAATGCGCAACTTTTCACCAGACGACATCGGTTTGACTCTACACTTGACCGGTTTTTGATTGTAGTGAACCGAGCGAAATGTTATCTTCGCTAAACCCGGACCCTTCGCGACCAATTAAAAATAATTTTCTCCGTCTTTCTGTCCTGAAAGAACAAAAAGCGCCTTGAGTTGATGACATAGGATATCTTAGATCCCGCCCCTCTCCAGCATGTTTACAGTTATTCTATTGGTCGGTATTCAAGCCTGTCAAACATTTGCACCGACTGGATTGGATCTCAGTCCAATGTGTTTTTGTGGTTGCCCTCTAAACAGCAAAAAGTTTTTCAGAACTGCTCCAGTATGAAATGGTCTTTCACATCCTTGTGGATATTGGTGGTAATTTCCGCTTTATGCCTTTAGAGACTTTCAAACATAGGCATGGCCGAATTAATCTATTAAGGGGCCCCTGGCCAAAAAAAAAAAAAAAAAATCTGTCGGCCCCCACTAACCCCCTACCTACTGCCCTAAATAGTTCATGGTCATTTAATCAAATACAACTTTGTTTCAGAATAAGCTCCACATGAGGACAATATAAACTAAAATAATAATTTTGATAAAGGGCATCTTCACAACAGAGGGCCAGATAATTAGCTCTCAATGCAGGACCTGGTTGATACTGTGTTTTAATTGCATAGTATTATGCAGTATGTACTGTCATGCCACTTTTGGTTAATTTAAAATATTTCAAAATTTGAATATAATTTGTATCCCTATTTTACAAACCAAACATATAGACCAATTTCCCTTTGAGTCTATACATGAGTGAACAATTTCAAGGATGGCAGCAATTTGTCAAAATAAAGGTATGCAATACATGCCTAGAGCCTATGTTAAAGGATTTAATAGTAGTAAGTGGTAGCAGTAGTAGTAGTAAAGTGTATAGCACCTTTCAAAACAAAGTTCCAAATGGCATATTGTGGGGGTAAAAGATTATAACATTCAAGCACAACAGTTAAATAAAATCATACAAATAAAGTACGGAATATGCAAAAGGATTAAAATGCCCCACAATAAAATAGGATAAAAGACAGTAAAATGAACAAATAAACCATAGGTCATATTAGAGCTATACAAATAAAACCTAAGGCAAGCATTAAAAAACAAGGCCTTTAAATTGATATCTTAAGAATATATTTAAAAAATTAATAATTTATTATTCAGTTCTATAATGTATTATAAGTCAATTATTCATGCAATGCGGATTGCTATCCTTATCATAATTGTTTATTTATGTTTGTTATTTGAGTAATTTGTCTGTAATTTCTGAGTCCCTGTACTAATTATCATTAAATGTTGTTTGTGCTGATTATTATTATTATTATTATTTCTCATTTGATTATAGCCTATTTGTTGACTAGGTTTATTTGCAAGTCTTTTCAGAGGATGCAGACAGTGTGCTTTCATATAGCTTCCTGCATTCATGTAAATATCATCTGCACGGAGTCATTTTTTTCTATTTCTCTCTCGGGGGCAAAAGTTGATCAAATCGCTGAAAGTGGGCAAACGCATTTCAGGACTTGGGAACTGGGACATTTTGTGCAGTAGAAGAGAAACCAAACCTCACCTTTTCATCTAGACAGCAGCGCCGCACCCTTCACCTGAAGAAATTATCCTATGGGTTTTCTTATCCGCTGTCTGCCAAACAAGCTGGAAGTGTGCCTAAAAGGGCCGACAACGGTGCCCCTCTTCTCAGGTTACAAAGCCAACACCAGGAATAGGAGACACCACCTACAGAAACCATTAAGCAGTCTGAGGCAAACACCAACCAACGATGTTTCAACAAATTGCACAAACTAATGTACCTGCTTTCTTACAAAGGAGGGGAACAGGAGCCCCAGAACATCATCGGACATGTCGCCTGAACACAGAAAATCCGAATCGCATTGTGCATGTTGTTGGCACTTCCATGAAGGCAAACCTGAACAGGTAAGCTGAAATGCATCTATTGAGACCGTCACATATGTCGCATGTTATTAACGTTGTTGTTGGTGGTGGTGCTAGTGAAGAGACTCATCAGTTTAAAATTCAACATTTTATTTAGCTTTATTTCTATTCCTCTGTGTGCAGCCTCGGCTGTATTATAACACCTGGATATGGTGCTTCCGCCCAACCTTAAGGCCAATTCTGCCCAGTGGCAACTCGTGGTATTGCAGCAAAAATCCCCTGTAGTATTTTCCCCATAGACCGCTACTGTAAAAGAGACGCCTGAAAACCCGTTGACAGCTCACCTGCAGCTAAAAGCATAGTCATTTATGACTCTGTGTATTATATACTTTTAAGCTGTGGGGTTTCAATCTTTGCTACTTTTCCAAAGCCCAGAAAAGTAATTTTCCCCGAATGACTTTGGCTATAATGTTCATTGATACAACTGTGACGGTGAAATTATACCGATATTTCTGTAAAATAGTGCTGGGAAATACAAAACATACGTCAATGTACTGTATTGTTACTTAGGCTGTGATGAAGTATAGGCTAAGTAAATAAGTGCACAGTGTTTTTTCCACCACGGCTCTAAATGCGAACCTTGTCTCTACAAAAGACCTAAGACAAAGGGAATGTGTAAACAGAGGACAGACAATAGACAGAGGAGAAAGAGAACAGATGATATGGGTGGAGGGTGGTGGTGCTTGTGGGCGGCTCGCTGACCAATCAGCGCATTACAGAGGCTTAAACCTTGAGCACCTGCAGCCTCCATAATCACTTGTTGCGCTCAGGACGGACAATCTTCCGGAACCAGTGTGTGTATTTGCTTTCTGATAACAGAACAGTCGCAGGGGATTAACAGTCAGTAGTAGGCAGACTGCGGGAGGACTGCAACCATGATTCACCCCCGCACTCTCAGAGTAGATTATGACAAGGCTGCAAGAGTGTTATGTGTGGTTGGCTCGGAACTTAATGTGAACCTGTACAGGTAAGCATTTACTTAATCTGTTGTCATAACACACAACATACACACTCTCACGATCATAGATTCACCTTCTCTCTTGGATTTAGTGAGGGTTTCCTACAGTATATCAAAAATCATTTTCTATTCTGTTCCATTATGTTACCTTGCTTGTCACTGATGTCTTGCTAGAGACTTAGAAAGCTTAATAAACTCCATATCCAGGGTGGTTGCTTTAGACTGTATTTGTAGCAGTTGAATCTAATAAAGTGTGTGTATAAGAGTCCCATTGTCAAACCATATCAACAAAGCTGTGGGGAAGATCATCATTTGCATGCAGATCCTGGTGGTGGCAGACCTCATGGTCTTTTGTTTGTACAGTGGAAAGAGACAACAGTCCTCTGTTGTTGCTGGTAACAGGAGAGACTTTGTTGTACCAAAGAAATGTAGGCTATAAGTACTGCCAAGTGTCATCCGACGCAACAGAGGAAAGCTGGACTACCGGCCAGTCAGGGTGGGAGACTGGCACGTGGCCCAGACCTGCGGGGGCTCTGTTGGGTCTTTTGGAATGTCCAAAAATAAAAGTCTCATATTATTTGAATGGATTTACCAGTATAGAGGCCTTGTCATGTAAAAGGACCCCATTTTAAAATGTTAAAGATTAGATATACAGTCTTTTAAGTCTCACTTAATACTAACAACTATTTATAAATTGAAAGAGGTGTTGGCTTCTGTAACTATTTCTCCTGTCCATATTTGCCTTGAAGTGATCCCTCCCTAATGTGATTCCAGTGTTAATTATGGAAATGAGTCAGAGGTAGGCTACAGTAAGACGAGTCAAGTGTGAAATCTTTATAGTCTGATCACTCCACTGCAGCTCAGCAAGGAAAAACTATATCACCGTATTAGAACTGTACTAGAAAGGCACCAGGCAGTATGGCCAGGAGGAATAACTGCAGCTACCAGTGATTGTTTCAGTGCATATATGCCTTTAAACCAGCCTTTAAATGGCATGGCTGTCTCCTTTACTACTCATATAACTTCAGTTGACATTCTAACTGCATTGGTGCCTTTTCCTAAACAAAGCAGTGGTAATGATACCACAGCAAAATAGCTGATACATAGAAAACATGAGATCATGTGGTAGTTTATATGGGGGAATATCAGGTATCTCAGTCCTCAGGCAGAATTCAGGCATTTTCACCTGAGACTCAAAAAAAAAAAAGCTTCAGACTCAACAGGATGTTTTTTCAGAAGGTGTCAGTCAGTTCAGTCAGCAAGGCATGAGGGAAATTTTACCACCTGCTGTTCTAGTTCTTTATTCTGTCACTGTTTAGAGATCAATAGTCTGTTTTTGCTGCCTTCCACAGTATAAAGAAAACAGGCTGGGTCACTATTGTGTCTACAGTTGCTACTTTGGCTTGACACTTCCTACGAAACATCCGCTTGTGGCTTGCCTTGATACATCAACTCTCTTCCTTACTTGTGGATAAATAATTATCTGCTCTGACGCACCCATAATATGCTTAATACAGTGTGTCTGCATAGTGTAAACACAGCACTAACTTGCAACAAACATGCCGCTTGTCTCGTTCTCAGGAGTGCCCCACCCAGCTCCAAGTTCTTCTCTGTGAAATGCACTTACAATGTTCAGTACAGCATCAGCCCCCCACCTTGGGAGACGTCACACCTCTCCCCCATCCCTCTCAGTGGAAACTCAGTGCTACTCATCAGCATGAGCCGTGCCAGTGAATTTGAAAATGACAGCAAGGTAAAAGTAGGACATGAGTGCATGACACTGATGTCACAAAGTGTCATATTTCAATATATACGTATATGTGAAATCAATTTATCAATGCACAGTGAAGAAAACCATTATTCAAATTCATGTGGAAACATAGTTTCATGATTTGTTGTTATTTAGACAAAGTAATTCTTGTTTTTTTTTCCAAGATGACTGAGTGAATAGCAGCTCCCCAGAGACAATATTTGTGGAACAATTTGAAAAAAATATCTCTACTTCAAATCTTAAACATGAGTCAGTTTCAGAGTCTGCAACAAAAACACTAACAGACCTGTGGCATTTGTGCCTTTTGCTTTAAATGACCAGAGGAGATATTCCACTATGTGCAGAGAAGAGATTTTTGCTTTGCAATGTAAAGCTCATAATCTTAAAATCTTTACTCATGCTCCTTTCAAATATTGTTGTTTTGTGAATGTAAATGACTTGTGCCTTTATTTTATTAGCTGTCTGTCCAGTACTATGGGGGCAATAAGGAGGTCTTGGGGAGAGCTGTTATATACCTGACAGCTGTTGGTAAGTTCAAATATTATAAAGCAACACACCCTTGAAAAGGTATATAGCATATAACCACAAATTATTAGTTTCACGTTTGAGCTTGAAAAGAGCGGCTGGGACATAACAGGAGCCATGCAAAGGCACTGTGTAATTAACCGAACGTGTCTGTGACACAGAGATCTCTCTGGATGTGGATGCTGACAGAGACGGTGTTGTGGAGAAAGACAACCCTAATAAGGTGAGTGCAGATGTGTCAGTTTTACATGGAAGTTTAAAATCTGACAGCTATGATGGAGAAGTTTTGTGTTTTTTGTCAATTTCAGATAATTACTCTGTACAAGCCTGAGCAGGCTGTAGTTGGAGACCATTCAAGAATGTTTCACTTCATTTAACTTTCTCATCTGATTTTTATCAACTTTTTCCCATCAGAACTGAGACAGTTCTATATATGTGTTTTTTAAGCACACATTTTCATTTCTCTGTTCTTTGTGGTTTGGCGGTTTAGTATGCACAAGTCAAAAAACAGAAGCCCTGAGTTGTGTCACAAAACGTATTATTTAAAGATTTCCCATGTCTGATTTATTGAAAACTTGTTAGGGCTCCTGGAAATGGGGTCCTAATGGGCATGGAGCCGTCCTATTGGTCAACTGTGACACAGAGCGGATTTATGCGAAGAAACCAGACATCGAGCAGAACTACATCTCCAGAACGTCAGGTAACACAGTATCAGTTGTTGTTCTTCAGTGGATATTCTTTGGTCCCTCTGTATTATGAACCTGCTTGTTGGCAGCGTTAAAAGACCTCTCATATTTGTTTTTGCAAAGTCAGCAGATAAAGGAGGTGTTTGATAAAATACAAATCCAGAGCCCAGTGTGAGAGTGGAGAGGGCAGGCTGATAAAATACGCCTTTCAAATGACTTTGAGGTGGACAAATCAGTAGAGTTGAAATTTTACAGTAAAAACAGGTAATGATATTTTGGACTGAACAACTCACTTGAATAACTTTCACGTGACTCTCTGTGGATGTGCAGATCTGAAGGACATGTCAGTCATGGTGCTGCGGACCAGAGGCCCGGCCAAGCTCCCAGAGGGCTACAAGCTCACCATGCACATATCTCAGGGCGACGCAGAGAGTGTCAGAGTCTTCATGTCCACATCCCCTGAAGTGACGAATAATTTCCTGTGTGAGTAAAGATGAAAGCCCCAAAACACATGATGTAACATGGATGTAATTCAGCTGGTTAGTTAAGGCTTTGTGCTGTTTTTAACTGTTATGTTCATACCTTTTTTACTGTTATTTTTCAGTATTTGAACCTTGTATTTGAACCTTGTTTATGATGTTCTTACTTCAGCAGTGAAACACTTGTATAACTACTCTGTGAGTGACTATCCGCTGGTGCTGAACAGTGAGGTCCTGTCACAGGAAGTGCCTTACATTGGAGGCGTAGCAGGGATGAAGTTTTATGTGGAGGGCCTCAGATTTCCTGACAAAGACTTCGATGGCCTCATCAACATCAACCTCAGTCTGTTAGAGCCCATCTGTGCAGTAAGACCTGCAGCATGGCACACACCTTTATTTCATCTCCTACAATGAGTTCCTTATTTTGCTTAATCATCTTCTTTACTCTTTATTTTATGTAAACTGATAGTGATCAAATTGCAAATATACTTTCCAAAAAATCTTAAGTCAAGGTCCATAGTTTCTCTCTGCCTGTCCTCCTCTCTGCCCATCCACCTCAGAGCTTCCAACTGAATCTTAAAGTCCTCCTCTAATGATCTGGTTGATAGTTCACAACAAAGTTAGTAAGTTGACCTTGAGATAAGAATTTTTTTGGCATACTGCTGTTTCCAAGGCCAAGAATGAACTTTCACTCTCAACAAAAGAACATGCTACATGGATTTCTTTACTAAATGTGAGGTCAGTTTAGGATTTTTTTTTTTTCCGCAGGCAGCACTCAGCCGCCTCTCATGTTTTGACAGGGTCTCCCTGAGACGCCCATTTTCACAGACAAAGTCGTGTTTAGAGTGGCGCCCTGGATCATGACACCCAACACCTTGCAGCCTGTGGAGGTGTTTATCTGCAGGTAAGAGAAGAGTGATGAGTAATGAAGATGACAGAGACAGAAGATGTGCTGACAGCATCTTACAGTGTTACACATTTCCCTCAATTTTGAATCACACTACCAAGAAAGTTGCACATGTAAATGACTTATGATTCCAAATCTGTATCAGCACTTTTGACTTTTTTCAAGAAATGCATTTGCATTGTGAAATGAAAAAGAAATTGCAAAACATTGCTTAATGAAAACTGCGTGTCTGCTTGTGGTTACTGTCTCAGCACATCTGATAACTACCAGTTCCTGAAAGGAATGAAGAACCTTGTTGCGAAGAGCGGGTACAAGCTGAAGATTTGCCATGAGTATGTGAACAGAGGAGATCGCTGGATGCAGGTGAATAAACTGAATGTGTCACACTTTCATGCAGATTTTAGTTTTACCTGTCATTCACAATCATTTGATGTCTGCTTCTCATTCACATCTGCACTATTTGTTAGAAGTCCTTCACTCAGATTATTTTTTAATTCTTGTTTACATTTAGTGCAATGCACCATGAGCGTGCATGCAATTGATAGAAAGTGGACGATGACAGATTTATTTCAAGTACGGTAACAGTGTCATAGGTTTCATAATCACTACATTATGAATTCTTGGAAAAAAAGAGCACAACTGAAAAAATGTGCTTCTTTGAAAAATAACAAGGTCAGATCACATCAAGTTTATGTAGAAACACTGGGGCAGTCAATGGTTTTCACAACAGTCACCTCATGAGAAAGAGGAAACAAAAAAAAGAAAGAATTCAAATATAACCCAAAATTTACGTGGAGAACAGAAAAACGGACAAACATTTGTTTAGAGCTAAAATACAGTATTGACATAGAGTGTATGATCCATTTTTCAGGACGAACTGGAGTTTGGTTACATCGACTCACCTCATCACCGTTTTCCTGTTGTTCTGGACTCCCCTCGAGATGGAAATCTCATGGACTTTCCATATAATGAGCTACTGGTGAGTCAAAGGCTTTCGGGAAATGAAAAAGCTCCGAGAGAAGCATGATTTTGTGTCTTATCTTAATCAACTTAACGTCCTCAGGGCCCAGACTTTGGCTATGTGACGAGGGTGGCCAAGAGAAAGGATGTGAGCAGTCTGGACTCATTCGGTAATCTGGAGGTTAGTCCTCCTGTTACAGTGAACGGACAAAACTACCCCCTGGGCAGAATCATCATTGGAGTGGCCTTCCCTACGTGAGTTCCACAGATCTAGAGCAGTTTTTCACACTATTAATGAATTCAGTTTATTGCACAGTAAACAGAACACGTGACGGAGGATTTACGGACGTACCTGCATCTCTTAATTTCTTTAAGGGCAACTAAAGGACGCAACATGACCAAAGTAGTTCAAGACTTCCTGTGGGCTCAGAAGGTTCAGGAGCCCATTGCCTTGTTCTCTGACTGGCTCCTTGTCGGCCACGTAGATGAATTCATGACGTTTGTTCCAGCACCTGACAGAAAGGTAACAACTTAAACAGCTAAACCGAAACCAAAATGCGACATATACTGGAAGCCGTCAGCTTTTACTGCTTGATACTGACTTGCTGTTACATACATTGCGGGATTGTATAAGCTGTCTGGATGTGAGACAGCCAGTGTTATGTTTGTCTCTTCTGCTTCTCTTCACAGCACTTCCGCCTGCTGCTGGCCAGCCCAGACGCAGGCTACAAGCTATTCAGAGGCTTACAGAAGGATGGTCACGGACAGGCCAGACTGTTTGAGGGTAGGCCCCGTCTGACTGCAATGTGCATCTTAGCAATGAACAGATTCATCATGTAATTCTTAACAGTCACTCTTACAATATTTCCGAAAAGGTCTGAAAGATGAAGAAACAAGAACAGTGGATGAAATACTTAAAGATGACCCTCTCCGGTATCAAAATAACTACGTACAGGTGAGTGGGATTGTAAGGTTAGACTCAAGCCCAGAGAGGATGATGAAAGACGAGTGCAGTTCCAAAACTATGGGCAGTAATACGCTGCTATAACAGCCTCCAGACTATGGGAATGATTTCCACAATAGGATTTTGGAACCTGGCTGCAGGGATTTGCTCCCATTCAGCCAAAAGCGCGTGTTGCTGATGTTGGGGTCGATAAGGCCTGACACACTGTCAGCGTTTCAGCTCATTCCAGAGGTGTTGCTGGATGTGGGAAAGGTCAGGGTGCCATGACATCAGGATCTCCCTTTACTGGAACTAAGGGGCTATGGTTAAGAGATGAAAAGCAGCCCCAGACAGTTATCATACCTAATCCACCAAGTATGATTCATCCAGCTGAAAACCAGGAAGTGAAAAAGGATTCATCACTTCAGGCAGCATGTTTTCAATGCTGTAGAGTCCAGTGATGGTGTACTTTACAGCACCTTTGGGACATTTGGCATCCACTTGTCTTAAAGCTGCTGATGAACTGTTCTCGTGCTGACGTTGCTTCCAGAGGCAGTTTGTCGTCTCTCACCACCAAGTTCCAAACAGTTTTTACACCCTGTGTGCCTCACTGTGTGCCCCTTTTCTATGAGCTCACGGAGCTTCACAGTGTGCTGTTTTTGCTCCTAGATGTTTACATTTTACTATAACAGCACTCGCAGTTGACCAGGGCAAATCTAGCAGAGCAGTAACCAGACCAGCTGACATATTGGAGAGATGGCATCTTATGAGTCACTCGGCTCTGCAGTATGACACACGTGTTGTGAGCAATTGTTTGTACTCATACTTTTGCTCACACAGTGGACTTTGAACTTTGAACTAATGACTTGTACAGTATGTGCAATGCACGATATCTTTTTTACTCTCTCCCAGAACTGCATCGACTGGAACAGGGATGTACTGAAGAGGGAGCTGGGCCTGGAGGAAGAGGACATCATTGACCTGCCAATCCTATTCAAGTTGTCGGAGGAGGAGGAGTACAGAGCAGTGGCATACTACCCTGACATGGTGTGTTCAGACATATTATTCCGCTGTGATCATTTCCCAGTGGTTGTTTCCAATTTAAGAGGCATGAAAGCACTCATCGGTTTGAGATAATATGTGCAGTGAGTAAATCTAGGATGATGATAACACTACTGTGAGTCTCATCATCTGTCATGTCTTTTTCCAGGTGAACATGATTGTTTTGGGAAAAAACCTGGGCATCCCAAAACCCTTTGGCCCCAAGGTGAACGGACGCTGTGCCTTGGAGGCTGAGATGTGCTCCCTGATGGAGGGCCTGGGCCTCAAATGCACGTTTATTGACGACTTCGCCTCTTACCACAAACTGCTGGGAGAGGTGCACTGTGGCTCCAACGTCCGCAGGCAACCGTTTGACTTCAAGTGGTGGAACCTGGAGATGTGAACAAAAACTGAGCGGTGGATGGAGATGGGTTAAAGTTGTAATCCTTAAAATTTCAGTCCTGCTTGATTTGGAAACATTAGTGCTGCCAAAATAACCCTCCCAAAATGCTGTTTTACAAAAAAAAAAAGTCCTTCAATAATAATTGCAACTGTAATCTGATTAAATGCGAAATGTTAGCTCACTGAAGAGACGGAGGGGTGCAGCCTTTCGCCTGCAACTCTTCATCTAACAGCTCACTGTGGCTGCTCCAGCTTACAGTATTAACTCAATAACAAAAAATGATATGCTGACAAAAGAATTTTAGAAAATGAGCAGGAACAGTTGCTGTTAGTGCTAACAAAGGTGTGTGTCTGGTAAAAGCCACCCCTGGATTCGCAAATTGAACTCTTTTAATGTAATCTTAACAACTCAGCATCTTAACACAGCTCTGACACAGTGTAAATAGAGTGAACACTAAACAGCAATGCGGGATTACATGCATGCTTCGTTTCTTGTGTGCAAAGCAGTTCTTTCAGTCAATGACTTGAATCACTCACCCAGTGAGTGTTGTCCCTGCACATTCACACTCTAGCAACTAAGAGCTCAACTGAACTGAGAAATGAACAGATCATTCCAGGAAGTGATTCAATTCAGTTCATTCACCCAAGAGATTTGTTCTTTTGAACAAATCCTTTGCACTACCTGCATGTTAGGCCAGTTTGAAACCAGCACAGGAATGGCAGACTCCGCTGCTAACTATGAAAACACAAAGAGAGGTGACTGCAGATTGTTAAAACATTGAGATGGCTATCGCTGGAAATGCCAGCCATAAATGGTTTAAAAATGGGTTATGATTTCACTGAAAATCTTGAGGACTATAACTTTGCAAAGGCAGATAGAGACGGTTATTGTCAATACACTAGTTCAGTGGTTCCCAACCTTTTCCAACTCACGGCCCACTTTAAAATCTCAAAAATGTCGGAGGCCCACATCCGACCCCTTAACAATATAGAGGCCAACTAATGCCTTCTCAGAGCTCTTTTCATTTTATTGATAACGATCGAACATTCAGGACTGAACTGAAGGCAGGGGAAGCTCAGTTTTTCTTTTCTGTTCACTCTTTCCTTTTAATTCTTCCTGTTGCTAACCAGCTGTCAGACTGAGATGGCAAATAAGTATACGATGCGATCCGACAGCAGTGGTCCGCCCGGCGGCAAGCTAAAAGTTAATTGGCTTATCACAGACAGGCCTCAATACAAGAACATAAATAAATAATTTTTGAATGTTTTTAAAGATTATTTATATATGTATTTCTCTATAATTACATCTTTTCACCAAAATTGTACTGTTTTGCAAATGATTTGTCAGCCTTCTTCCAATACCTTCACGGCCCACAGGTTGGGAACCACTGCACTACAGTCTTTTTGAAAACAATAGCACCTTGAAGCAGCTTTAGGTTGAATCACGGTGTAATTGTTAATTTTTTTTCTGTCAAAGCCTTACATTATCTGTGTTTTAAAATCATGAAATTCTTAATTTTCTTATCAATCATTTTCTTATCACTTTTTTTTTTTATCAAATAATGTATTCCTCATTTTCATAATTGTGTAGCAAAAATTACCCAAGGGGCTTGATCTATTGTATGCATCTTCATCTTTATTAAATATTTTTATTGGTTTCATTTACAAAAAGGATGTAAAGCAATATTTACAGGTCTTTTGAACAAGGGCTTAAGCAGACTGTTAACAAGAACAGAAATACAATCATTTGAATCAAGCACATAGAAGATTTGCTCCCGGTCCTGATGTGGTTCGGATTGGCCGTTGGCATACAGTGTAAGCACACAGACGAATGGTACCACATGGTGATGTGCTATAATATTACATAGCCACAAGAGGGTGTACTTCATCTACTCAAGCATTTTCCAAAGTCCAGAGGAAAGTCATCTGAATTCATGTATTTTCATAAATCAGTTTAATAGGCTGTAATACACAAATGTGTAATTATTTCCAAAAATGTCTCTATATTTTTTCTATGCCATTTTTCTGTTGAGTCAAATCTTACTTTGTCCCTGGTGATTTGTAGCTGTAAACAGCTTGGTGAATACAGTGTTTAGGTTGTTTAGATATTTGGTCCAGTGTCTTAAACCTTTTGTACTTTCACAAACTGTAAATGCTGTCTTTGATTCACTATAGACAATAAATCTCATGTCTGCTTCACTTACATCACTAAAATAAAACAATCCCATGTATCAGTTCTTTCCTTCATAACAAACTGAAAACAGGAACAAGCTGGTCTTCTCAAGAAAGATGAGCTGTTTCACACTCAAGTTTTCCATGGTCAGAAGTCAACACAGTATCCTCATTCATCGGAACAGATATGTACAAATAAATACATGTCTGCCTAGTTTTACATTCAAGCCACCGGGCAACGAGGTGCCTTTAAATATGACCTTCCTTCAAAGCAGCTCAAGTGACAATCATAAAGGCAACTTCAAGACGGGTCACAGTGTAATTCATATTCAGCAACAAATCACGTTTCTCAAAAGGTCAGCGCTTCAGGGATAACTCTGAAAATGTAGTGCTTCGGTCGCGTACGTATATTACACTTTACAAATAAAGTAGGAAACGGTGGCTCTCAGTCAGCAATGTGCACTGCATCTGGAGATGTTGGCTGGTTTTCAATAAAAACACAAATCACAGGGATAACACCTCTATGTCAAGCATGGCACCAGTGTACAGAGGAGAGGTTTTTGGCAAGCAGATTTACACCATGCACAGTACCATTGTATACACACCTGTACACAGACATCAAATCAACAAGTGGTGTGTGACGGAGAGCATTTGGAGACAAAGGTCTAAACAGCAGTACCTTGAAGGGTGGAGTGGGGATGCATGATGCTGGTTGGGGCACTACAGTAATTCTGCTTTTAACTATAATCATACAGCATCAACAGAGTCTACTTTAATGTTAAAATATTTCTTTCTTTTCTTTTCTTTTCTTTTTTTTTTTTTACAGATTTACTGTGTCACAACCACATTTTGAATGCAAAAGATTGCAGACACATTTTCTGCAATATATCTCACCCTTCACCCACCCAGGAGAAACGTGAGTGATGCAGCCACCAACAGCAGCATCATACAAGTACCCTCCATCAAAAACATGATGAATTATGAAGCTGTCGTAAAACACGACAAATATCCACTGCAGAACACCCAAGATAAGAAGAATAGATCATCAATAAAACACAAACGTGGCCTGACAGATACACACACACACACACACACACACACACACACATACACACACACACACACACACACACACACGCACGCACACACACATATACAGACCCGGTACATTAAAGTTAAACCCATGTACAGCGGGATGTGAGGCTGACATTAAAAAAACATTTCCTCTCCTGTGCAACTCTTCTGTCCTTTAGACCCTCGGACTCGGTTTCTCTCACCGCTCTTTCAGACACAAGATTAAACCCCTGTTCAATTCCTGATCTCTAAAAGAGGACACACAACAGCTGAGTAGTACAGTAAGACAGTTTACAGTAAGAATTGGGTTTCAGAGCATACTGGCCTGGGAAAATGACTTATTCTGCTGAGCCAGCTGACAGATGTGTCAGTTAGGAGGGCATGGGTGTGGAGGTCTCTTTCTCTTTTGCCTCGAGCATTTGACAAAGGGATTCCATGTGGAGGGGCGTCAGGTAGGAACATGTCCGTGAAGCTGGGTGTCTGTCATGGCAGGTGGCAGATCCATCCCAAACACACGGTGGACGATCTGTCAGTCTCTGGATTGGGCTTCTAATTCTGCTCCCCTTCTGCATCAGTGGTGGGAATCACACGCCCCTTCGCTCATTTGTGGCAAAAGATGCCTCGTATGGGAATGCTGAGGGAGACAAGGTTACGTAGAAGAATCAGGTCTTTAGTGTCATACTCTTAATTAGGCCCAAAATAATATTAATATGTCAAACCTGAAAATGGAGGCTGATGTAGAGATCATTTGGGTGTGGCTAACAGTTCTGCAGACAGACATGGAGAGATAATGGAGACACAGTTAATATCAGCAAATAGAACAAGAGAACATCAGAACAGGGCTGCAACTAATGATCGTTTTTGTTATTGATTAATGTGTCTTGACGAATCTGTTTTCAGCCATGCTAGTGGTGCGGCTCTGTGGATGGAAATGTCAGTGCCATTCAGTTCACCACTTTGGTCCAGGCAGAAATATCTCCACAGGTGGTGGATGGATCGCCATGACATTTTTTTTTTTTTACAGACAATCATCCTCCTCATAAAATGCACCCAAATTGACTCTGGCGATCCCCTGACTTATCCTCTCGCTTCACCAGGAGCCTGACATTTGTGGTTTGGAGTGAAATGTCTCGCCAACTATTGGATGAACATGACTGACATGAAATGTTGGTGCAGACATTCATGTCCCACTCAGGATGGATTGTAACTTCAATCATCCCTTAACCGTTCACCGAACGCCATCAGCAGGTCAGAATTGCCATTTGTCCAATATGTGGCCTCTCTATTAGTGTTGGAAGTTAGTAGTCGATGAATGACTTTAACAATAATCAGAGGGAACATTCATTCCAGTGAATCCATCTTAGCGTCAACTAATGACTGATGCCAGGCACTTTTGTCTCACCGATGAGAACTTGTGCTCCTGGGGGGGGCGCTCCATCTTGGGCCTGCTGTCTGCCCCTTTTGGCTCCGATGTCTTCACTCCATCCGGTTGCTGCTGAAGACGAGAAGCTGGAGGAAGGCGGCAGATGCGTGGATGTCATAGTTAATAAACTCAAGCACAAAATGCTGCCAGCTGTTCCAGCCGAAAAAAATATTCCAGCATGCAAAAGATTAATGGTTCAGAGTGAATCATTAGCGGTAGAAAAAAAAATAAAAAATGTGCAGAATAAAAGAAGTTTGCACGGGAATCACAGATAAGTTTGTAATGCTGTAGGCAACAGTGAACTTCATTTAAGAGGAATTTGCAAAGTGCTCTCTTTTCATACAGTCACATATTCAGTTGGTGGGAGTGAGTGAGCTCTACTGGTGCAGCTGAGGTGAAGTTCATCACTCATGGCTGCTTCGATATTAATTGCTCAGGAAGCGAAGAGTTTTATTCTTGCCCCATGCCCCCATCTAGATTTTCCCCAGATACCCTGGATATGTGAAACAGTCGACCTTGCCCGCATCTCACACCTTCAGGCTATTACTGGCCCAGTAATAGGAGTCATTTCTTCCTAAACTCACCTGGAGAACTTCCCTGGCTGGAACTGCAGGCACTGTCATCCACCCCAGACCCGTACAAAAACGAGTCTCTCTTGAGTGGCGTAACACAAGACATACTTTCCTGTAAGAAGGGTAAAGGAAGTTAGACATATTTCCCTTTTTTACCGACAATGTATCACAAGGAGAAGCAGACGGCATAATCCAAACCACAGCTCTACTCTGTCACTGTATTTGTCTTTGTGTATGTGCTGTACGTATAAGAAATGGATAAACCCATTAATATGTATTACTCTGCAAGAATTTTGACCGCTGTCATTACTGGGATACAGTGTAATCCGTCAAACATTCTCACGTCCTTAAACAACAGATAAAAAATGAATTATCATTCCCCCCAGAGTAAAAGTGAAACAAATGTGAACGGAACCGCAATATGTCACTGGCTGTAAAAGAAGCTTTCTGCTGTTGTTTGGTTTCAGTAAGTGACAAAAATCTACGGGTCTGCACTTTCATTATCTGTTATCGCACTGCCCGTCTCCACCCACCAGTCCAGTGTCGTACTCCTCCTCGGCCTCGTGCTCGTGCTCGTGCTCCTCCACAACACTAGCGAAGCTGCTGGCGTTGGAGGAGGAGCGGGAAAGGTCCTGTGCCTCGGGGATGGACGGCGCCCTGCAACACATCGCCAAGCTACACACCTGGGTCACTCTGACCGCACAAAAACCCACGCGACACCCACACACTGAACACCAATACACCTATTTGAGCAGTAGTTTAAATGTTTTTCTTTCAAAAGTCACATTAATTTGTCATCTACGTCTCAGAGCCCTTCCACCGTTCCCTCCAGTTTCAGGCAAAGTGACAGCAGCGCCTTTGTAACTGTGTGCCATGTAATCTTTTAGGAGGATTAGAAAAACAGTCCTTTAAATTAGCTGTTGCTAGGGCTGGGGTGATACTGAGTAAAACGTCCTGCATATATCACAATAGTTTTGCCTACATACCGATAACAGACTAAAGTCCTGCCTTGAAGACACAGTAAAACACAATTTAATCTATACCACGCTCCCAGACGATTCCTTGTCTCATATGAGCTTTAGTTCACACATGTTTATACTTTTCTCAAAATGAAATGTTGTCTGCCTCATTACTCACCATGTCAGTATTGTATATATCACATCACTGTCGGACCTTTAATGTATTGTTTCTTGTCTTTTGTCTAGACCACACACCTGCTTCCTGCAGAGTGAGACGCCCGTGTTGCATTTTTTTTTAGAAAAAATCTGGAGCCAAACGTTGAGATTGTGAAAAGGATAATGTGAATTTTGTGGCTTGTGATGAATTAGAAATGAATAGAGAGGCTTAGAGCTATGACTATGAGGGCAGTCATCCATGTAATAGAGTTGCTGTTTTAAACTCTACAAATGCATTCCCTCCCCACTCATCAAAGGCATCTATCACCACAAATAACTTCTCAGTGTTACTGATTATAAGACAGTGAACTATTACAGAATTAATTAAAATAATAGTCACCTGTTCTTAGTGGCAGGAAACTCTGGAGAGCTGTGATTGGACGAGTTGTCTGATTTATTTTCCTGCGACAAGTGGCTGCTGTCGGGTGTCCTCTGGGTGCTGGGCGACACCTCTCTGCTTCAGGACGGGGATGGAGATTGAGACATGAAGGTAATGTGAGTTTATTATTTCATATAGTAAAAATTTTGACAAACTATTGATGGATGTTACAACGCATTCACATCATCTGAATGTGTGTTGTAAGATCTGAAGAAATCCATTGTAACTCCCACAAACCACAAGTTACTGTTTAACTATTGTTGGCATTTTTTCCTTTGTTAAAGTGACTGATCACCAGCTGGATCACGAATACAACATGAGATGAGCTTCACACACAGCAACAGTTATGAATCTTTAGTTCAGGTGGAAAAATAATTAGCGTAAAATCTAATCAAACAATCAAACAGAATTAGTGTAAAATCTAGCGATGAAATAGAAACTAAAGCACAACAAATTCTCTTAATCGAAACTGCCATCCAACACAGACTCATATCTGACACAGTGTGTCTTCTAATAACTAATTTCTTCATTTTAATGTCTCTGCTTCCATCTGTTGCAACACTATTCTCTCCTCACTACCCACTCCCTGCTGATCCGCTCTGCTCTGTCCTCTCACCTCCTCTCTTGGACCTCCTGGATGTTCTCGATGCCAATGGCGCTGCTGCGACGGGAGCTGAAGGGCCCAGACTTTTTCCTGGTTGGGCTTTTCCCAGGAATTATCAATGACTGACAGTGGGCAGGGAGAGGAAAGTGAGACACACTGAGCTGCTCACACATTGTATACAGTACATTATACAGTAGGCTACATGTAAAATATGCTACAAAGGAATTATGAACTGATGGCTTGATAAATCCTGAGATGATGTAATGACACATTTGGCAACGCGTTTTACAAATACGATGCAGAGGCTTCAGGTGGGAATTGATTTTATATTCTGTATTTTCTTATTTTTGACTCTTGTCTCTGACAAACAAACTTTTTTGTCATCTTTCTCTCTTAGAAGTGTCCTGGGTGTTCTGTTTGGTTTTTATTTAAAGCAACAACATCAGACTCTTGTATGCCGCACATTTCTAATTTAAGATGCAGTATGATTTAGCAATGAATGACTCTGTATGACAACACAAGTGGGAGTCTGTTCACAACTGTTTGTTGGATTTCTTACTTTTCTTTTTCAGTGTTAAGGGACACACTTCAAAGTAAAAAGAAGTGAAGGAATTCATGCATGAAGCCCAAACATTCATCATCTACCTGTAAAAGCTATTTATGTTACAGGAAAGATTTTTAACTAAAGGTAAATGAGCTATAATAACGTCGCTCAGTCCGTCATGTGTCATTCCATCTCAGCCATAAACACAAGAGGGTTTGGCTACTGGTTCAATGAATGAAATGAATGAAATTGTAATTAAAACCATAACTAAACAAATGTCATTATAACTTATTACACCTACAGATTTAAAATCCTCTAGCTATACACTTACATTTCAAAAAAGACAATAGCAAAGTAAAGACAAAAATAGAAAACGAGAAGGGAGAGTTATACGTGAACCTCTTCTATTGTTCCTATCCCTATGGCACTGCCTCGACGTCCATATTTACTGGGACTTTTCCCTGGGACAAGCAATGACTAAGCCACACAAGACAGGTCAGGGGAAGCAGAGAGAGAAAAGAGATGATAGATTGAAAAAGGCAAGAGAGGGAAGGAAAAGAAAAAGAACACATCATAAGATCTCATGCGCACAGCACAAAGAATTTAAACAGCAAGGTGCAAAAAGAGCTTGAAAAGGAGCTCACAGCGTGAGTTAATAGAGAAGACATGATATTGAGGAAACCGTGAGAGGGCTTTTTAGTGCAAAGACAGATTGGGGTCCAACACAGGAGGGCACAGCAGGAGGTGAGGAGTGCCACCGAGGTAGCAGGCGTGTCGGCAGTTTCTGCCCGGAGGGCTACAGGTCTGTGTAGTGATGCATTCGGAGGGAGAAAAAAGGGCAAAGAGGGCTGACAGAATCCAAAGAAAACTTAGTCCTTTCAGAAATGGGGTGAATTTAGTTCCAATTCAAAATGTTCTCAGTAAATGAATTCAAAAACGAGTGAAACATGATTAACCCCATCCTTGAAAGGACAGGACAGGACAGTGTGCTACTTGCATTTGTGGCACGTGCCATGCATATTTTTCAGGTGCACATGCACAAGGCTACAAAGAGAGGTTGTGACATTTACAGGAGGGAAACAGTCATGACAAAAAGCACATTAAGGAGGAAGGGAGTCTGGGTAGTCAAACAGCTGCTATGCTGAGCTCACTTCAAAACTCTGGAGAGAGACTAGACTGGGGATCACAAACAGTCATTCATCTTGTATTGAGAAGGAAATCATTGGTTTAATTTCACAATGGATTCTCCATTTTTAACATAATCATAGACATCTAACTGTCACACTATGTGGTGATGAAGATTCTCTTGACAGATGAGAATGGATGAAATGCTGAGAATGAATTATGCTAAAAAAAAACCCAACAAAAAAAACAAAACAAAAAAAAACTTAGTTATTAATACAAACACTTAGAGCCATAAATGGAAAAAGGCAATCAGTGCTACTCTAGTACAAAGCAAGAGTGAATTTAAAATGTTAGGAATGAAAGCGAGTGCTTTGATGTTAATGTACTGATGTAAGTCAGGGGCTATAATGTGCCAACAGGAGTAATTTGCTAAAGTGCTGCTCAGAAGAAAGAGTAGGGGTTGAGGAGTCTGTATGTGCACTTATCCACTGTGCTGTGAGTAGTGAAAATATACTATATCCTGAATGCACGTGTTAGGTGGGCATCATGTGAACCAAAACGGTCTACTTACAATCCCTGGGGTTTTGGGGCTCTCTGCGGGATTGTGGGTAAAGCTGCCACTGTGACTAGTGGAGACTGTGTGTGACTTCTTGTTACTGAGGCCCATGGCGTCCATAGACTGGCTTCTGCTGCGGATGACCCGCTACAGAGAGAAACGAGGAGATACCGTCAGTGGATCCACTGATATTGTGTGGAAATGCAACACACTGGCCGATACTTCAAATGTCGACCAGTATGTAAATATTATTGATGCAGTGCATGTTTTAGTGATGTGTTTTTACAAAATTTTTACACGATAAAAAAGTTTTTTATGCGGAAGACATTTTGAAGTCACAGTAGGGTAGAAACACCTGTGTTTCTCCTATATGACAAGTCAAAATGTGTGCTGTGAAAAAAACTTATCACTAATATATTTACAAATATAACTATATAATATTCAATAATAAAATTAATAATAAGAAATTAATACAAAAATTAATTAAAAAAATAATAATATAATATTTCATAGAATGTCAAAAATTCTGACAAATGGCAACTTTTAATAATAGATTTGCTCCATTATTGTTCTTTAATGGAGATTAATATAACTTGATGTTGAACCTATTGTGAAGTGTGGTGAATATGAGGGCACAGATGTGAGTATTCGAATGTGTGAGTGTTTGTATGTCGGACTATTTTTGAACACTTAGGGGCAGTGCAGGTCAACAGGCAGGAGGGAGAGGCTGCGTGAAAGAAATGTAAGTTTATAGAGGGTTTGAGGCTTTGTGGTGGAGTACAATGAAGCTGCATCAGTTATCTTCTAAGTTGTCATTTAACGGGGAAGTATCTGTAGGGGGGAGGTTTGTGTTACGGGATGGGGGAGATGAGACAGCGTGAAACAAGGAAGACTAACATGAGAGAACCAACAATGAGAGAAAGTAGGAGAGACAGCAGCGGCAGCAGCAGCAGAATTGAAACAGCGAGACAGAGCAGACAGAGAAAGGAAGAGTGGGAAAGCTTTGCTGATACAATTTGTGGAGGTGTGAAAGAGAGAAAGAGAGGCAGTAAGATGGCTTTCGGCAGATAGGAAAAAATAGAGATAGACAGGACTCACAGGCAAGAGCAGATTCATACAGAGGTAGTGTATGGAGGTGTGGGAGAGAGATGGATCTAAAGAGATAAAGGTGGATGTATTTCTCTGAAGTTACAAAGAAATGAAAAAAAAAATAGCAGAGATCAAGTCAACGACACGGAGAGAAGAGAAAAACAGCAAGGGAACACTGCCCATGGGGAGACATGCAAACTGCATCATCAGCTCCCTAATGAGAGGTCATTAAATCGTTCATCAGGCACACACAATCACAGCTTCTGCTGCCGCGCCTCAGCGGCTGGGCCACGCTCCACAGCCCTAATGGTCATTGATGGAGCACTCGCAGTCGGAGCAAAGTGCCTTTCATACACAACTGGACGCTCCCCTGCCACAAAACCACACCATCATGTGAAAACACACTGAGTTCAGCAGTCGCAGCCAAGTGAGGAAATCAAATGCCACAGGACTGGTCCTTTGAGATACTGCACATTTTCTATGCTTTGTTTTCTCATGTGTGAATACCCAGAATCCCAGCCAAGAGACAGGGGAGGGGAAAAAAAGCATCCTGAAAGTTTCTCCACTCATCACCATTCTCTCTAGTGCATGTGGAGTTGCAGATTAACGGTGCGTCTCATCAAATGAGGGATGCGGCTGTACCTTGAAGGATTCAAAGAAACCTCCTCCTCCTCCGCCTCCCCCGTTCTCCAGCTTATCTTCATCCCCACCCAGACCCATCATGGACTGGCTGTTGATGTGCAGCTCCTCATACAGAGTCTCCAGCAGGGCCGAACGTGTGCGCTCCTGACAACAACAACAACAGCAGCAACAACAACAACAGCAAAGTCAGTCTGCAAAGGTACTGACAGTGAATCTGAAATCTAAAATTCGAGTTAGTTCTCTGTTTCAAATGTGTAGAGCTCAGTAGAATGCACATCTGTACTAACAGGTATGTGCATTGGTGCGCGCACACACACACACACAGACACACACACACAATACAGGCATTCAAAATTTCTATGGCGCAGGTTGCATTGTAAAACTCTCACCTCCAGCTTGGCAAACTTCTCAGCCTTGTAGCAGGCGTACTCTGCATTGATGAGCTTGGTGAAGAGGAACTCGCGGAACTCGGAGCCCTGACCGAGGCAAGTACAGGGAAGGGAAGGCGCAGAGAAGGAGGGTTTATGGTGTCTGCTTGTAAAGGGGAACTGATGTTAATGAATTTTGTTTGACTCCTGACCTTTTTAAAGATGGCGGGGTCAGGCAGAGCAGGCCCGAAGAAAGGTACGTCATCCCTCGCTGTCACGGACACCTGGAGGAGAAAGCAGGTGAGCAAAGCCTGTGACAGCTGCCTATAAAAGAGACACTGTGATGTGCCGCTTTTTAAAGGCACACAGAAGAATCAAAACTCCTGAATAATGAATGAGTGCATCTGAAATTGATTTCATAGGTCACTGTCAGTCAGAGTATCTTGATACGGTATCGGCTGTCCTTAGAACCAACCTTGTAGGTGACATTGTCCGTACACGTGTTCTCCACTTGCACCACCACATACGCATGCAGGAAGTTGGACTGGATCATGTCTGGTACAAAGGGCGTGTTCTCCTCCTGGAACACGATGGCCACAATGTCGTTGCCTATGTGCCTCTTCCTCTGCAGCTGGAGGGCACAGACAAACAAAACATAACAACAGAGGAAACATCTCAAATAACCAGTTAGAGAATCACAAACACAGACCCGTCACAGAATCACTTCCAGGACTCGCACTCAGAGATTGACTGAGAGTAAATATAGTCCCAGCAGAGAGGTGGATTTGACTGTAATCCAAGAGCACAACCTCTTCTCTGAGATGCATCACACCCCAGTTTACACAACTATCAGCCAAAGGAATGTCTTGTAGCTATTCTTGCTAAGGATTTAACACTTCAGATAGTATACCTCATGGGTGTGCCTGGCATCCATAAATGTATATACTGACCCCCCCGTAAATCCACTTAATCTGCTTCTTCAATGTAGCCATGACATGCTGGAATAATTTAGGGCTTCACGTGTGCAGGTGGTGTGGAAATGAATAAATCTGAATACCAGTGGAAGTGCTGCAAAGTCAAAAACAAAAATGGTTTTTATGATTCTACAGATGGCTGATTGTCAGCAAACCAAATCATGGCTGCAGAATGGCTGCACTTTTTCTTGTTGCCAAAAGGCTTAAAGATGCCAAAAGGACACTCATGCACTTGGAAGACGGAGCGACTGTGCCAGAGTATTACATTTTTTATCCAAGCAATATCTTATAAATGGCCCGGTGTTGCCAAGCATTAGGGACACCTTCTTGTAATGAAATATGAATTATGTTGTCAGCTCATTATCTTTTGCTAGGAACTCTGACTTAAACAGATCACAAGCTTCCATAAATATCTGAGAAGATATGACTTTCCTTTTTGTTAAAATTTATTAAATGAAAATGTGACAAAATATGCATAATTAGGACTTCGCAGTAGTCGGCGTGAATTTTCTGTAATGTCATTCGGAATTCAGTAAAATACTTTAAATGTAAGTGGATATCAGAATGCCAAAATAAATTCTGTTGAGCCCTGCCAAATGATTCTTATCACGAAGACACTGTGACCTGAATCACTCCATAGCATGTAGGTAGAAGCAGATCCATCAGATCTTACAAACAGATCCAGTTTGGTGATAAGCAGAAATTCTCAGTCAAAAATATTCTCAGTGCAGATAGTCTTGGCAAAAATAGACCCAGCTCCCATGTCCCTCCACAGTAAGAGCCTCAACGCTCTGATGCTTGCTCTGCAGCAGCACGCGTTGATTACCCTTCGTCAGTCATCAGGCTGTTTAACGCGCTAAAGTACAGCCTTTTAACGAAGCTACTTCACACCTGTTGAGCTGAAGTGTTAAGTGGTGCTGCTCCAATTGTGTGCAAACCACAGTACAGCAAATATTTATTCTGGGATCCATAGATGATTCTTTTCCAGTTAGTCAAATTATTTTACAGCCTCTCTCTGTTAAAGCCAGTCTGTTTGTTCGCATGAGAACAATTAACCATCTGTTTCAGGCCTTTGCAAGTTTTCATAATTTGCTGATATCATATGAGCCAGAAATATGCCAGAAATATGAAATAAATGCCCACATAAATGGAAAATGTTTTCTATTGTTCAAAGGGAAAGAGTCCAGCCTTCATTTATCAAATATCTGCAAATGTTTACATGAAAAAAGCGTTTAATAAGCCATGTAATTGCACGAGATATCTGATTGCAGCATTTCTAAACACTGAAAAATAACACGTTTTAAGAGAAAAGTGAGATTACAGCTTGATAGACATAAATGAGCAGCAGGTCCTTTGTGTAGAAAATTAAATCTCCCAACCAAACCATATTCTGTTCAGACCTGGCATGTCTTGAGTGACCACTTGTGATTGGATCTCACTTCCCCGCTTTAGACCTCCATGCAAATAAACAGGTATGCGTTGTTGTTTTCAGCCAGTCCAACTGACGGACCGCCTCCGAATTTGGTCCGAGTGATCGGATCTCAAATGCGTCTTCAATGCATCTTGGGCGCATCCACACCTGAACTTAGAGATGTCCACTGGTGATAGGATCACCCGAGACGGATATTAATGCCAGGTCTGAACAGGGTCTTTGTGATCCATTTAATAATGAAATTCAGGCATCCAGGTTACTACTGTAGCCGAGCTTATTAGCTGTTAGCTTTAATATTTATTCACACAGTGGCTTTCTGAACCCAGGTAGCTGAATAACATTCATTCTCTGTGCAGATGGACAGCCAAACTACAGCGTCACCACAGACAGTTAAGACTCCAAAACGAACTCAACAAGTGTGTCACTGGATTGAGACACTTGACATCTGTCATTCTGTATATTTCTGCTCAAATCTGATCTGACTGCATAAATCCTGCACTTTCTCCTTCCTGAAATAAAGCTCTGCTACTATGGGTGCACCTTGCCTCATGGATCATCTCATGTTGGTGTTGTTCGTGTCCCCTGTTTCTCTTCATGTACTGTACATGGTCTTTCTGTGCAGGGTTACTGTGGTAACAAGATTCAAACCACTCTAAGAGACAGTAACTTAGCACCGATGCACCTCACTGCAATATGGCATCAAAGAGATGAAGGTCTTGAGCCACAAATCAACAGAAGAGAAACTTCAATGCCAGAATAAGAGACACTGAAATGTTGGTGGAAATGGGAAAACTTAAAAACTGATATATCTCTATGAGGAGGTTAGGTGAGGACAGCCAACCTGCAAAACCTAAATACATTCTTAGCAAATCCCTGCTGACTTATGTCTGTGCTGAGAGTTAGATGAGAGGATTGATTCCACTCTCATGTTTGTATGATAAATATGAAGGTAGAGACAACATGCTGGTTAGCTTAGCTTAGCATAAAGACTTGAAATCAGTTTTTGTATGGAATGAACAAATGAGATAATGTTAATTAGTGAGATTTAGAAGTGCTGGTAGACAGATTTAGTTTGTTACTCGGCCGGGCTACTTGTTTTTTGTTTTTTTTTTAATAATCACCTGCTGGTTCCAGCTACAGATTTATTGTTCACATATGAGAGTGGTTTTGATCTTCTCATTCAAGTCTCTGCAAGAAAGGGATCAAGCGTATTTGCACAAATGTCAACGTATTGCTTTACCTAATGGTTTAAGCTTTTGCCCTGCACCTCAGGGTTAGGATACTAATTACAGATTCGAATGATTCTCCTTGCCTCATGAGTGTTAACTTAAAAGCCAAAAGCCCCTGCAGCCAAACATGTGGTGGAATCACAAGGAGGGGCCTCTACAAATCAATTAGTGAAAACTGTCCTGAAGAGACAAATTAGTTGCTGTGATCATTAGTCGCTGGAATGTCTCTATACCTGCTGTGAGTCTCCCTCTGTGTAAGGCAGCTTGGTGGACACATGGAACATAATCTCCTTGTTATGGAAATTTGTGTAGACTGATTCTATGCCTGTCTGCCCATGAGTGACATCCAGCCCACCGCGAAACCTGGAGAAGAAAAGGACAAGCAGAGAGAGGAGAGGTAAGGGCATGGGCAAGAACAAAAGGAGAGAGAATAAAAGAAGCATAAAAGAAGAAAGAATGAGAAGGAAAGGCAAGGAGAGGATTGAGGTGAACAGCTGAGAGGAGGACAGAAGAAAGACAAACAAAGTGGTGTCAGGAGTGGAAAACTGATGCGTGCCTTCCGAGCTGCTGGTACTTCTACGCTCCATCATCGAGGGAATGCCAAAGGCACTTTTTCCTACTCAATCACAACGTCGATAAACACTACAAATATCAGGGCCCTTGAAATCGCTTTTTCAGGGTTTTATTTAAAGCTTTACTCTGACCAATAGCAAAAGTGAATGCTGGCCTGTTTCTAAGAAGACATTAAGTAGATACAGACAGTCAACTGAAAGTGCCAAAATCTGCTGCTGTGAAAACCGAAAGAAATTGAATTGAAAAATGTCCAAACCCTTTAAAGTCATGAAGCTCAATCTTCTGGCCCAGAAACTCCAAGAACTCGACAAAGGCAGGACTTTCTTCCATATTCCCAAACAGCTCCTCCTCTGATGTCTGTGAGGACAAAGCAAAGGACATGTTCAGGAGCGACACTTGACTTCAAAAGGAAAGATCAGCAGCCGCGTCCTTGAAGTGCACTCACCTGGCCGAACTTTTGATAAATAACTCCAAACTTGAAGTTGTTGCTGATCACGTGCTCATCAAAGGTGACAATGAGCCTTGATGCCTGAGGAGGAGAAGATAAGAAAGTTATAGGTCAGGTTCACGGAGCTGCAGCGTTGGTGTAGCAGGAAGCCAGAGAGAAAGTGATATTTCACAAAGTCACAAAGAGGATCAGTGCCTACCTTTGGGTAGAGGACAGGGAAAAACCTATCCACATTTACTTCTTCACAAACAAGCTAAAAGTGAAAAGGTACATTCAGAATTTTTAAATTTTGAATGTATACTGAAATACTTTATACTTTACAATACATTCTGCATGATAACAATTGCCTACCTTGGCCATTTGAACCACGTTGGGGAACTCGGTAAGGCAGGAAATGGGAATCACATCATGGTGGGTTTTTAGCTTTGTGCTGGAAGGCAAACAGTTTGAAAAGTCAAAGTTCTATTTGTAATGCAAAGCAATTCTTCTGCTTTAATGGTTTCTTTCTTTGTTGCTTGGCATTCATGCAGGTGAATGAAACATTCAAAGGAGACCTTTCTTATAGAAGCTGCGTGGAGCTGAAAGTATAAAAGTCTTTACACTTGACGTGTTTGAGACGAGATTGCCTGGGAGAGGGTTGAATTTGTCCATCATTACTTTTCTAGGCGGGGGGGGGGTCACTGCTCTATCAAAGAGTTGCAATAAACAATACTGTGAAAACTGCACACATACTGAGTGCTACAATGGGTTCAGAAAATCTGAACAATTTATAGTAGCTCACATTGATTATGGTGGGATTCTACAAAGAATAGTTCAAAATTTGCTTATTCACTCTCTCGCTGAGAGTTAATGTAGATTAAAAGACCTATAGAACCTTATATCAGGCCAAAGTCCACCTACCGAAATCTTTAAAACTCACATGTATTTGGAGGAGCTGGACAGATGATTTGGAAAGGTGCAAACCCCACCCTCAAACAACAATTTTCCAATCATAGCACCAACAAGGTGCTAAGCCTGCAGTGCTGTGTTGAAGTGATGTGCATGCAGCTGTAGTGAGAGCAATAATCTGTACTTCATGACTTTTGAGAGTGGTGTCTTCTTTCCCTAGACTTTCCAAAATCAACACCTCAACAGCAAACCTGTAAGGAATTGATTAAACTCTATGTTACGCTCCAATGTAAGCTACACTCATTAGCAGGTTGAGCTAACTACCTACAATAGTGACTAAGCACAACCTCCAAGGTACAGTTACAGGTTATGTAGGAAAAAAAAAAGGTCCCATTCATGGAGGCCGGTCCAGGACGCCTTTATGAGTTTAGTGTGTCGTGTCCTGTTTTTTAATGGGCTTTTATTGTACAGAGATAACATGACACTTGCCAAACATTCCTGTTAGTACTCGTCTAAAACCTTTTGTCTCGTAACATTAAAATTGAAAACTGTTTGAAAACACAAATATGTAAGACATGCAGCAAAACATGTTTATATTAGAATATAATAACTCCTTGGTTTTGGACTAGAGTGCATTACAAGAACAATCACTCTGATTTAATTTATTAAGTGTTTTTTTCCTGAGACATGGAGATTTAGCCTCAGTTATTTAACACGATATCATCTATGCAGCTGTCAAGTGTGTATTCTATAGGGCTGAAAACTTAATCGAAATATTATTTAAATTGCAGTATGGCCAAGAGCAATATCCAAATCGTAGGAGCTGCAATATTTTTGATAATGCTAAAATGTATCTCAGATTACCATAAATGAATAAAATGTGGTGCTACAAAGATGAACCAGCCGACACAAGGTACAGAACCCAGCAAAAATCACATCATCAAAATACATAAATGACCAGTCCCACTGATCTCGTGAGACATATCTCAATCAAAAAACTTGCAATATATATATATATTTTTTTGCATATCATTCAGTTCTTATATTCCAGACCCCTTTTAAGTCTGGAAACATTAAAAAGTCAGCCAGAGGCAGCAATTCAACCAACTAATGGAGCTGATGTTAGCTTTACTAGTCAGCTAGCAAATGAGAAGCTTACTTTTGTCTAATCTGTTGTAAACTGCTTGTGCGTATGAAGGCAGAAAGCCTGACAGGTGTAGCAACAGTGACTAAGGAAAGTGAGGCTTGGAAAATGGTCAGTTTATACTGTATTTCTAAAAACCTAACAACTTGTAATCCTTATGTACACTAAACAATATAAGTTGGAGTTTTTACAGTGTGCGGGGCGGTAACAATAAAATATAAAAAGATTATGACTAATCATGTAGTTCTCTTACAGATGGACTGTGAGTCAGTGACTGTGACGGCACCAGCTGAGGCGACTGAGTTAGACTGGGATGACGGAGTGACTGTGGGTGGTGCACACCCACTGGAAAACATCACTATGTGAAATAAAGTAGTGGGCCGAGTGACTGTTACTTTGCTACACACTCATCCGTTCTGAAGCTCCATTAACAAAGAGAGTGTGCAACTATCAAACCTTTAGTGGAGTCTCTCGGGAGCTAAATTTAATTCACAGGTTACTCGGTGTGTCGAGTTCTGCCTCTCTTCCCCTCATCTCTATTTAGCAAATCGCAAAGGAGTAGAGGATTTCAGTGAGCGAGCACGAGTTTGGGTGATGGTGGGAGGCTTGTACAGCATAGATGAATAGTGTGCTGATGGTTAAGTAGTTTGTGGCACAGTTTCTAAAGTCAACATTTATAAAGAGAAACTCGAGTGTTTATGCTGCACCGCGCAAATATTTTAATACTTTTATTTCTCCTCACATTATTGAACTACTCCCACAACATAACACTGACTGACACAAACCTCTGCTGACATGTGTTTTGTAGTTTTTTTAGGGATATAAAAGCTGCACCTTTTACAAATCTACCATGGCATTATCATTTAAAAATATGAACTGAATTACTTAATCGGTTTATCAATTATACTAATTATTCTCTTAATAAAGTACAAGAACAAAACTATTTTTGAGTCATTTATTGTTGCATAGCAGCAGGTTATGACGAGCAGCACAAGTGAAGGTTATTTTTTCACCTCGCTCTGTCTTATACGCAAATTGTCAGATAATTGAGAATTGAAAATCTTCCTCTGTGTCATTTTTGCTAGACTTAAAGCTTTTCTTCAGAAAAGTGTGAAATACTGTATATGGAAAGGTTCTGTTTGGGAGAAGCTTATGACATGGATATCTGAAGTCAGAGTCAAGAAAAGGGTGTTTTAGAGACAAAGGCAGAAAGAGAGAAGCAATGAAAGGGAAAGGGGTATAAAAGCAAAGAATAACTGCAAGGGATTTTGCAATGGAGGGGACTGTGATCAACAAGCGAGAAAAAAAAAAAAAAAAAGGGAGAGAAAACAGGTCAGAAAAAAAGATAATAGGAAACTGTACCGAAGCATCAAGCGCAGATGCTCTTGATCCCCAATGACATCATACTTCATGGAAAAGACCAAGTGGCCCAGGGCAGCATCCATGGTGTAATAATTAAAATGTTCCTGGGGGCAGATAAGCAGAAGACACTTTAATGCAAGGATGAATACTCCTCCAGCAGCTGACAGGGGGTGGCACACTGATAAAATAAAGAAGAAATGGAGAGGGGTGAAGAGAGTAATAGTCTTCTAATTAAAGAAAGTGCTTGAACTGCCTCTGAAGAAAAGGTGTGAAACAAGGAACAATGTACCAGTTTTTATATAAATATTATTTTGAATGCACAACTGCTTAATGTATATACTGAATTTTTAGTTTAGCGATGTGTTCTACAGTTTGCTTTCATTTAAAAGTTGTTCTAGGGGAACACAGAGAATTAAATGTTCATGTAACTAACGTAATTATATACCAACTGCTTTCACATGTCTCCATCTTTTTCCAAGATGTGTGCCTGAAAATTGTCCAAGTGGTTGTACAGGTGATTGAATGTTTAATAATGCAAACACAGATGATCACAAACGAACCCACGCACAAACTATAAAGATTTTCTTCTTTGGTCTTTTGACATAATGTTAAACTTTTACTTTTTTAAAGAGAAATGAGCTAATGCTACATATGCAGTTTTTTTTTTTTTTAAGAAACATTTTATTTCAAAACAGATATTAAGATTATATGTAGATTATTAAAATCAGGCAAGTAGATTTAAGAAAATGGAGTAAAGTGACCTTTCCCCTAACACGAATGTATATTTTAAGATGCTACAATTTATATATTAAACCAAGATTGATACTTTCGCAAAAAGAAAGAAAACCAGAAAAAACCCTTTTTCCAATCTTCACCTTGCCCATGAACTGCTTCCTGTATATCTTGGCGGTGCTGTTTGTCTCCAGTTTTATGTGGGAGGTAGGACAGGGGGGTTGATCTGCTTCTGGTGGGTCTTTGGGCTCATGATTGGTCCCCTCAATCCAGTAGCCTCCAAACTGTGGCAGCAGGATCAGTGGAAAAGGGCTCCTGCGACCCAGAACCTGACAGTGATGGCAATTTAGTGTTACAGTTCTCGACATCTATAGAGTATATATACTGTGTCGTGTGCGTACAGTACGCTGTATGTACCTCATGAACGCTGGGATAAGGGATGTAGTCCTCTTCTGTCTGCAGGGAGGGAAACGAAGATGAGTCCAGTTGACAAACAGCCGTTTCTAGTCATACTTTCAGTTTTTGGTTCTTTGAAGAAAATAATGAGAATAGACACTGACCGAATTTTAACTACAGTATTGTGCAGTTCTATATTTCTCACAGTTATTTTTCTTAACCTGCAAACATGACAGAGGCCACATTAGCAGCCTTTCTGACAAATGCCATATCTCTAGTGAATACATAGCCCTTTTTTCTTGTACTCGCTCTGTTCTAACTGCTCCTGCTGTTATTATTGACAATCCATTTAAACTTAGCTGTCCTTTGGTAAAAGTTTAAATATTTCATAACCTCCAGTGATTGGGTGCTAAAACTTCTCAGTATTGACATAAAAACAGGGAAAACAACATAACCTTTCACTGAAAAATAAAGCAACTGAGTTCTTATTGGATATGCAGGTGTTGGTGTGAGAGAAGCAATTGGCAGCGAATGCATGCACTATTTAAAACACACCAATGGTCATCTCATAACAACAAATATTTATCTCATTTTACCCTCTGATAATTGTATCCAGTTACTGTGCCATTAATCTGCGATGTCCGTTGCACCCCAGAAACCATTTTGTGAAGTCATGCAACAATTCCTTTTAGGTGAACCCATTTTCCCTCAATTTCCGAAAGTGATTTTCTCCATTACCCCCTAACAATCCCAGCACAGCATACCTGCACTTGTTCCATTACAAGTTACTGGCTATATGTAACAGGAGTGAAAGCAAGAACAAGAACAAAAGAGCAAGTTTTTGTTTTATATGCAACGAAAGTGAAAGTCACAGTCCTTTTCATGAAAACCTTTCCAATGATACTGCATTATTAGCAATTGTAGCTACCATGGAGATGGCATTAAAGGAAAGGTCAGAGGATCACCAAAGTGATGAAGACGTATCCTCTGGGCTCCATGGATGTCTGTACCAAATTTCTTGGCAATCAGTCTAATAGTTGTCGAGACATTTCACTTAAAACCAATCATGTCAACCTCATGGTGACGCTACAGAAAAACTCAGGGATTCACCAAAGTCACTGGGCTTCGTCCTCGTGGGACCATGAACGTCTGAAATTTCTTGGTAATCTATCCAATAATTAGCTCAAGTTAGGGTGAAAATGGTGGACTGACTGACCAGTAGAATAACATCACCATCCATGGAGCAGCTAGGGTGACTAAAAACTAGTGTTTAGGTTAGGGGAAGAAGCCGATCTCCACTGTAGCTGCATTATATTGTCAACAAGGAAAATATAAAACCAAACAACAAAACTGTCCCAGAAATGCAGAATATATTTCTGTCCACATACTTCCGTGTAAATTTGTTTTTGTGCTAAGTTAAACCCATGAGCTCTAATTAAGGGAAACCTAACTGCTACAAGACACAATCAGAAGGCCCTTTTCTTTTTCAACATGGCACCACTGCTGTGCATAAAGCGAGGTCCATAAAGAAATAGCTATTTAAGAATTTGACTTTGACATGTACTGCCAACTGGGAGCAAGCCCAACGTCGGTGCCCAAAATTACTAGTGCACTTGTGGCTGAATGGAAACAATTCCCCGAAGCCAGGCTTAAACATCCTGCGGACAGCCTCCCCAGCTGCATGGAGGCTGTTATAGCAGCAGATTAAAGCCCATGCCTCTGGAATCAGACGTTCGTCTATCTCACATGGACAACCTGTCAGGTGTCCGCATACTTTTGCCCACTCAGTGTACTTCACTGGTAGCTAATTTGTTGTGCGTTGCCTTTATAGCAATGTCCTTTAATAATTCATGCCAATAGATTAGTAGAACCATGCTTTACATCAGCCTTCATGTTAATCTTTACCTCAAACTCCCAAACCACATTATATAGATGTGAGGTTAGCCAACCCCTGACCAAGGAACCTGTGGCTGTTGTCAGCAATAAATGGTTTTTATGTTCCTTTCTCTGATGATTACATCTATTGGGTGACCTTTCTGACAACAGACCTCCTGCTGAGACAATCTCCCACTCTTAAATACCCCGTGCATTAGCCCGTCTAGGTAATAGGACAGCAGAGGATTTTGCCGTCCCAGTACCCGTTGAGTTCCTAACCCAGTCGGTGAGCACCCTAAAGCCTGTCTGACAGCTGATAAGGAAAGGTTTATAACTCTGCCATTACGGATGCTTTACCAGACTGTGGCATATGAGGAGATGTGACGATTTGCGACTCACTTTGAGGGGGGGAGGGAGGGGGCATCTCTGCTCATCCATTCTGCAACCCTGTGGAGAAAAAGAGAGAGAGAGAGCGAGAGAAAAAAAAAAAAAGACAGGATACTGAAGGAACAGGTGAAATATCTGCAACACAGGATCACATGTGTGAAAAATGTACACAAGGGACACACAACATTTTTGATTGTCAAGTTGCATGAAATTTCTTGTGCAGTATGAAAGTGAGTGAGTCCTTGTGCTAATAATCCATGTTTACATAACACAAACTAAATCACCAGATGGGCTGCGGAAAGAGGAAGTATAGAGGAGCGATATCTTAGCGGCTGTAGCACATTGCAAAAGATAAGCAGAAGTCCATGAGAACATAAAGTCACACTGCAGATATCATTAACCACAGTTCCACTAACGGCCCACGAAATGCCAAAACAGGACTTTCCATCTACTCTAACTATTCTAATTCTTTTAACTCATAACTACTGACAGTTCCCAGAGCACAGAGAGAGACGAGTAACAAAAGCATTCCCCATCAGTCGCCCCTTTGTGTGGAATACCCTGCAGCGAGATTTGAAATGTATCAAGTTTGATGCATATTTTTTTAAGGTCTAAGGAAGTTGAATCAAATGGAAATTGGAAATGCTTTCATTAAATTCATTCTTTGAAGACTCCTCCGCTGCCTCTGTTTCTCCTTCCCTCCCTCATTCTCTTTGCCTTTTTATGAAGAATATGCATCACTAATTATAAGATGCTGTTGTCTGCAACAGTAGTCATGTTGCCTCTGTGTTGTTCAGGTGCTTAACAACCAACAGCAAACAAATCAAAATGGTTTTGAATCTGACGAAATATCCACAAGTTTCCTGCATTAGTAATAGGTATCTGCACGCCTACACATTGTGCCTTTTATGCCTTTGATTCTTCCTTATTTCCAGAGCTACAGCATCAGAAAAAAGTTGTTTTTCAAAACCTGAATAATTTTTTAATGCCAGCAATATTCTATGCTTCCACCGAAGATATTATCACAGTACTCTATTCAGATTTAAATGGTGCTTCCAGTGTTTCAGGGTCATGACAAGTTGAGCCTTACACAGCAATGGTGAAGCTAAAAGGTCAATTCCATACAGTCTTTGACCACAACAGAAGTGCATGCATGAAATAAAAACAATACCTTTTGTCAGTACAGACAACTTATTCAAGATCAAACGAAAGAAAGAAAGAAAAAAAAAAGGATCTATGTTATGATACAGTTAAAAGGGAAATTTGTGAAGGCCTGTAGTGTCAAAGACAGTCTCAGATCAAAGTATCTGTTTAAACTCCGTTGATCTCTCCAGTGGCTTACTCAGAATCTACTGTTCTTGCTTCTGGTTCATGTAACTCTGATTGAACATCACTGGCTACAAAACAAACTACATTCCTACAAATCTACCTCAGCATATTGAAAAACATAACAACATTTCACACATCTGATGACACAGACAAAACTACCCAGCTGTGAAGAGAAAACACAAAAGGCTCTGTTCAGCACATTCGGAAGCATCAGGTTTCTAAAGACAGCCTGAGGTTGTCCCTGCTGCAAATATGTATATATAAAAAAAAAAAAAAAACACACACATTAACGGCGAAGAGAGGGATGCGTGGACACACATATAAAAGTGTAACAGTAACAGAGTTGCGAGCTGGAATACAAAAATAGCAGAGAAACGTGAGCCTCAAAATAGAAGTAAATGGAAGTTTTATGTCCAAAGCGAGTGAAGTTCAGAGGATAGCGTTTGATTAAAGCCTAAAAGGAAGTGAGGACAAAAGGCAGATCCAGGGGGGACAACTTACTGTACCTGCATTCTCTCGATCATGGCAAACAGGTCTGAGGTCTGGGTGAGAGAGACGACACAGATCCAGAATGGGACACGGGTGTGAGAGTTTGTAGAGCAGTGCTGGTATTGCTTTCCCTGTGGTCTTCACTCATCCTCATACATCTCTGCTCACTAAGAAAGCTTGCTGTGCGGTCTCAAGACACAAGACCGCACGCTGGAATCTCTGACACCCCCAATTCCATATTTCACTACGACAGCACTCCTTTTTTAATGCATCCCCCACCCAACTTGACACCACTCTCACGGAGGCTCCATTCAACGCCAGGAGAATCTTTCCTCCACGCTTGAAGACAAACACGCCGTAAACAGGAAACTCTTAGGAGAAAATGAGCCTCAGAGCTCCACGGTGCTTTTCTCTGTTGCTACAGCCAACAGCTCATCTGACTGTGTACAATGGCCAAATTAACTGGAAGACACTCTGGTTTTGATGTCTGAAATAGGCAGTGACATTAGCGTGCCAATGAGACACACTTAACCTATCAGGTAACAGGCAAATACAGAGTGTTCAAAGCAGGAAATAAAGCTAAATTGACATGGATGGTCTCGCAACTACATTTCAAGTCAACCGTGGATTACTCTTGATGTTTTGTAATCAACATGTGTCCAGGTGGTGTACTGATACCTGTGCTGCAGGCATGAATCCAGCTACTGGATTTATAATTACACCTTGCGCTATCCATGCACTACCAATTAGCAGAGGGGCTGGTACAGGCCAAAGCGGAAGAAAACACCCGCTGCTATTGCATTTCCTATTATTCTTATTTCCAACCTGAGATGAAGGAGGGGGTGGATCGCCGCGGCCCTGACGGCAGTGCTTGTTGTGGGGTGAACCCTCTGTTCACCATGTAACAGAAGTGGACTGAAGTGCCAAGCCGATGTTTCCACATGACAGCTTAGATTTACTGAGGGGCACTGCAGGGCTTGCTAAACACACACACACACACATACACACACACACACACACACACACAAACACACAAACACACAAACAAGAGCATACACAAACAAAAGCATACACATGTGCATGCGTATAAACATATTCACACATGCCTGCACTAAAACATACTTGTAAACTTAAACGCATATTATCACCACCCATAAAAAAAAAAACACGCTCACACAAGAACACACACACACACACACACCTGACCCTGACCTAGTAAAGCCAAAGGTGCAGCCTCAGTCTATTGTTGCATGTGAAAACAAACAGTGCCATATGATATTCAGGGAGATACTGCTCTCCTGACTGCAAAACAAACATCAACAAACATTGTCCTACGCTGACCAGATTATCAGCGAACCACACAGATTCCACAGAAACCACATCAGTGTTGACTCTCTCATGAGAAAGAAGTGAAACAATGGACTGCTGGATGGATGTGCTCCTCCAGTGCAGCAGAACGCGAACCACACATAGTTATACAATATGTTCTAATAAAAATAGCATCATTTAAGAGTTAAGTAATTGTAATTTGCATGCTATCAATAGATAAAAAAAAAAAAAAAAGAAACTACACAGACAGTACACAGTTTATCTCAAGACACAGCTGATTTTCTTCCGTACATGGCTCTGACATATAGCGGCAGTGGAGCATTGATCCGTCTTTACAATGTACAAAAACTCTATCTACTGGTCTACAACAACAAGCATACTGTATATATCTATGTCTCTAAGCCTCCTTAAGATTTGATAAAGCAAGAGTAACTAGAGCAAAAAGAATCTCTCACTTCAAGAAAGTAAAAAATACTCACATCACTGAGGCACCGTCTCTTGAGAAAGGGCTTACCGGGGGGGCTGCTGAGCAGTCCATCCAATAAGACATTCTTAGCTATCCTGAGCTCAGTCATCATTCCAATAGTACGGATACAGGCAAGCTGACAAGAGCGAGGGTGTCGATGTCACCGTCAGCCACAAGGAAAGAGGTGAGATTGACAATGACACTTCACATGCGCTGTCGCTCAGGCAGTAATGTAGGAGGACAAACTTGATGGCTGTCTATCAGAATCCATACATCTATGTGTGAGGTAAACGCATGTGGTGAAATGTGATAATATCATTTCCCTTCCTTCCTCTTTTCATTCCCCCCACCCCACCCTCCCATAGACACACACAGCTGTTCTTTAGGAAGTAGGAGAAAGGGAGGAACAATGTTTCTCCCCTCCCTGTGTGCTCTGCACAAATATCTTCTCTTTTTAATGCACACGCGCACACACACACACACACACACACACACACACACACACACACACACACACACACACACACACAAAAAAAAATTGGTATAGTTCTCCTTTTGGTCATATCACAATATGAGACTATTCTCTTCCTCTTTTCTTTTCATCTCAGATTTCTCAAGCCTTCGTCTCAGAAACACTTGTCCTCATCCCAACACACAGAGGGGCAACCATAAAGAGAAAAGCGGGTCAGTGTGGGCATTTCTTTTTACATCTCAGATGATAAATGACAAACCTAGAAAGTTCCATAATTTTTTACAGTGTATGTTTCCCTGTGTTTTGCATCACATGTTGAGAAGTAGGTTAATTATATCTGCAGTGCTCTTATAGACTGTAAATGCGGATTATGAGCTGTTTGCCATTTGCTTCTATTTCTGTACAAGGAATCAGGGAGATTTTCAACCCACTTCCTGATGAGACATTTTTGCAATCAATGCTTAATAACTTCAGCTAGCTGTCATAAATGAATGAGAAAAGTTAATAAATGAGTGGTGGCATCTGGCACTTTTCACCGCATTGTGTCCTTGGTAAAACAACAATGTGAACGCTCCATGTGTTATCACTTCCACCAGGGGAGATATGTGAAACAATCAAGCAGCCCAGATGCCACAGCCTGATTTTGACTTAGCCAAACTTCAGCGCCTCAGAATATGATCTGTACATAGTTACGCACGGGTATGACATGGAAGCATAAGAGATAGCGAGAGACAGGGGAGGAGAAGGAGAGATAAAAAGACGAAGGAAGCACAGTGGGATGAAAGGGGAACCATCGTTCTGTGAAAGCAGAGTCTTTTCTGTGCAGCTCTCTCCATCAGGCGCGCCTCCAACATCAGATATCAACAAACATTGACCTACTTCTAAAAAAAAATAAATAAATAAAAAATACTGCTGAAAGCTTTCAAGAGGACAGATTCTACCCATATATGTTAAGTGTTTTTCATTTTGCAATAG